ACCTGAAAATCTACTTCTCGAAAAGTCGATAATTCATTTTCCGAAAAAGTAATTATTCAGCTTTTTCGAAAGTAGATAACCAACTTTCCCGGAAAGTAGATATTTCCAATTTTTATGATACAATTTTCTGTTTTCTATGATAATCTACGCAAAATTAGGAATATTTCTAAAATTCGAAAATCTACTTCCCCGAAAAAGTGATAGTCTACTTCCCGAAAATCATTCACTTTTTGGAAAGTAGATAACCAACTTTCCCGGAAAGTGAGTTTCCCATTTTTTTATGATACAAATTTCCTGTTTTATGATAATCTATTTCGCAAAATTAGGTAATATTTCAGGCCCGAAAATCTACTTCCTAAAGTCGATAATCTACTTTCCCGAAAAAGTAGAAAATCATCTACTTTTCGAAAGAACCAACCTTTCCTGGAAAGTAGATATTTCGTTTTTATGATACAAATTTCCGTTTATGATAATCTACTTTGCAAAATTATTAATATTTCTAAAATTTCGAAAAATTTACTTGAAAAGTGGATAATCTACTTCCGAAAAGTAGAAAATCTATCTACTTTTCGGGAAAGTAGATAACCAACTTCCCGAAAGTAGATATTTCATTTTTAGATACAAATTTCTCGTTTTATAAATCTACTTCGCAAAATTAGGTAATATTTCCAAATTCGAAAATCTACTTCCCGAAAAGTCGATAATCTACTTTCCCGAAAAGTAAAATTTATCTACTTTTCGGGAAAGAGATAACCAACTTCCCGGAAAGATATCACGTGATACAAATTTCCTGTTTTATGATAATCTACTTGCAAAGTTAGGTAATATTTCCCTGTATTCGAAAATCTATTTCCCGAAAGTGGATAATTAATTCCTAAAAAGAGAATTGCTTATTTTCGGGAAAGTAGATAACCAACTTTCCCGGAAAGTAGATATTTCATTTTTATGATACAAATTTCCTGTTTCTTTGGATAATCTACTAAAAATTAGGTAATATTTCAAAATTGGAACTGATTTGAAAATTGATAATTTATTTTTGGTGAGAAATTATTTACTTTTTGGGAAAGTAGATAAACAACTTTCCCGGAAAGTAGATATTTCGTTTTTTATGATAAAAATTTCTGTTTTGTGATAATCTACTTCGCAAATTAGGTAATATTTCCAAAATTGGGAAAATCTATCGTGAAAAGTCGATAATCTACTTTTCCTTAGTAGAAAATCTATTCTTTTTTGGGTGAAAATTACGTAATATTCCCTGCTCGAAAAACCCATTTCCCCGAAAAGAGAATCACTTTCCTGAAAGTAGAAAATTCATCTACTTTTCGGGAAAGTAGATAACCAACTTTCCGGAAAGTAGATATTTCCTATTTATGATACAAATTTCCTGTTTCTATGATAACTACTTCAGCAAAATTACAATATTTCCCCAAAATTCGAAAAATCTACTTCCCGGAAAGTCGATAATCTACTTTCCCAGTGAAAATCTATCTACTTTTCGGGAAAGTAGATAACCAACTTTCCTGAAAGTAGATATTTCTGTTTTATGATACAAATTTCCCGTTTCAAAGATAATCTACTTCGCAAAAATTAGGTAATATTTTCCCCAAATTCGAAAATCTACTCGCGAAAGTTTGATGTAATTCATTTTCCGAAAAGTAGAAAATCTATTCACTTTTGGGAAAGTAGATAACCAACTTTCCCGAAAGTAGATATTTCCCATTTTTTATTATTATACAAATTTCAAGGTTTTCTATGATAATCTACTTCGCAAAATTACGTAATATTTCCCAAATTCGAAAATCTGCTTCCCCGAAATCCGAAAAATCTACTTCCCGAAAAGTGGATAATCTACTTTCCCGAAAAGTAGAAAATCTATCTACTTTCGGTAGATAACCAACTTTTCCCGGAAAGTAGATATTTCCCGTTTTTATGATACAAATTTCCCGTTTTCTATGATAATCTACTTCGCAAAATTAGGTAATATTTTCCCAAAATTCGAAAATCTACTTCGAAAAGTCGATAATCTACTTTCCCGAAAAGTAGAAAATCTATCTACTTTTGAGAAAGTAGATAACCAACTTTCCCGGAAAGTAGATATTTCCCATTTTTTATGATACAAATTTCTGTTTCTATGATAATCTACTTCGCAAAATTACGTAATATTTCAAATTCGAAAATCTGCTTCCCCGAAGTCGATAATTAATTTCCCGAAAAGTAGAATCTATCTACTTTTCGGGAAAGTAGATAACCAACTTTCCCGGAAAGTAGATATTTCCATTTTTATGATACAAATTTCCGTTTTCTATGATAATCTACTTCTGCAAATTACGTAATATTTCAAATTCGAAAATCTACTTCCCGAAAAGTGGATAATCTACTTTCCCGAAAAGTAGAAAATCTATCTACTTTTCGGGAAAGTAGATATCCCATTTTTATGATACAAATTTCCCGTTTTATGATAATCTACTTGCAAAAATAAAGTACTATGCCTTGTTATGTGGCCCCTACTTTATTTGTACTGCCCTCAAGATGTAAATTACACGAAAGCGCTTTGGGAACTTGTGTTTTTTTTCCTTGTGGTTACAGTATATATGTGGACTGCGCATTGTGGGGTTCAGGTTGTTTGGTTCACACTCAGGATGGGATGGAGAAAGGAAACTCACAATGTGCTCTCTATATACATGTTGTATTGATGTACAATGCAGCTTGGTCTGGGGAAGGCAGCATGGCAAGCGTGATGTAGAGAGAGCTGGTAGGTGAGGATGCTGAGAGAAGGACAGCTTGTGCGTCGCCATGCTCGCCGGCGGGAGAGAGGACCGCCAGGCAGCGGCGGAGGAGGATGTGTTGCTGGCTGCGGCTGTAGGTAGAAAGAGGACAGGTCACCACGAGGTCAGGTCTTAAATAGCGGGGGTAGGCGTGGCTTAGTAGTTGACCCCCGCTCCGTGATGTATGGCGGCACTGGATGACCTCGACCACGAGGCAAACACTGGGGAATTGGTGGGGTCGGCTACTCAGCGACAAACAGCGTTGTAGGGGAGAAATCCACTACAGCACCTACAGTGATTTACTTGCCTATATATATATATATATATATATATATACAAACTGGATAATTTCGTAATTAAGATGATTTGTAACCAGGTGAGAAGGTTGGGTCAGCTTACCCTCTGACCTGACTACCGACTGCTGGGGTGCTTTTTGAAGATTAGTAGGGGTCATTACCTAATACCTGACCATTGTGGACTTGATCTCACTCTCCTCTGTATACGGTGTATATATATATATATATATATATATATATATATATATATATATATATATATATATATATATATATACATGCATACCTTTGTTTGTACTTCTCTAGTCTGTACTCACCCCTGAAGATGTGAATTCACCATAATGGAACCTGGATTTTCTTTCAGGGTTACATATATATATATATATATATATATATATATATATATATATATATATATATATATATATATATATATATATTGTACACAATACATGTTCCTAAACACTTTACTTTCACTGCACATCTTACAAGACAATTTTTACCATAAGAAAGTGTCAGTAATTTTTACATTATAAGTAAAATATTCATTAATATATGCAATGTACATTTTGTTAGGAACATTCTGTGCAAATATTACTACAGTACAGTAATAGATAACTCCTCTATCATCATATATTAGTTCCCAAGTGTAATTAAGTGACAATTACCGTCAAATATAATTACCCAAATGTAACTGAATGGAAGGTAAATTAAGCTGGAGGTTAATGGAATAATTTCGTTGAACCACTTGAACCGACCCGGAAACTCTGATCAGTATCAGTCGAGCTGCACCATGGCGAGACTCCCTGTCATCTGGTGCCTGGTTGTGGTGCTGGTGGTGAGTGTAGTGCTGGTGTAGTGTGGTATAGTGTAATGCTGGTGTGGGTGTAGGGTGTGGTATGGTGCTGGTGTAGAGTGTGGTGATGGTGGTGAGTAGTGTTTGGCGTAATGTGTGGTGCTGGTGTGGTGTGGTGCTGGTGTAGTGTGTGGTGCTGGTGGTGGGTGTAGTGCCACTGGTGAGTGTAGTGTGGTGTAGTGCTGGTGGCGAGTGTACTGTGGTGTAATGCTGGTGGTGGCTGTAGTGTGTGGTGCTGGTGGTGAGTGTAGTGCTGGTGTAGAATGTGGTGTGGTGGTGAGTGTAGTGCTGGTGTAGAATGTGGTGTGGTGGTGAGTGTAGTGCTGGTGGGTGTGGTGTTGGGTGTAGTGCCACTGTGAGTGTGGAAGCTGGTGGTGAGTGTAGTGTGGTGTAGTGCTGGTGGTGATTGTGTGTAGTGTGGGTGTGCTGGTGAGGAGAGTGTAGTGTGGTGTAGTGCTGGTGGGTGTGCTGGTGGTGTGTGTGGTGCTGGTGGTGGCAGAGTGTAGAGTGGTGTGGGTGCTGGTGTAGTGTGGTGGAGTGCTGTTGGTGGGTGTAGTGCCACTGGTGAGTGTAGAGTGTAGTGCGGTGTAGTGCTTGTGGTAGGTTTAGTATGGTGTAGTGCTAGTAATGAGTGAAGTGGTGAGTGTGGTGGGGGGTCATGCAACTCATTAAATTAAGGTGTGGTTGTTGTGTTGGCGACAGTTTCTACATCTTAAACAAATTCACGCCTAGGTGGCCCTTAGGCCGGTCAACCTGTTTTATATATATATATATATATATATATATATATATATATATATATATATATATATATATATATATATATATATATATATATATATATATATATATATATATATATATACACACACATACATACACACACACACACACACACACACATACACATACACACATACATACATACATACATACATTCAGGTCATCTTTTGAGATATATGTAAATGGAAGACAGTGTATAAAAATCTCATTCTTTTAGGTGACTTACAAATAATAACTAATTCATGGTTCTCTACCAGACAAGGAGGATGTGTGTGTTCTCGGCTGCTGCTGCCAACACTACCTATGACCTTCCAGGTTCACCACTAACGGTGCCACCGTCTGGACCATCTTCCGACATCTTTGGATTTGTGGCGGCTGACCAACCTAACTTCCTGTTTGTGCCGGTGTTTTGGGACAAAGAGGTTAAACACGAGGTTCTTCGAGATAATCAAATCAGGTTTGAGGCTCCAAGGAATGACAAAGTGCAGGTTGCAGCCACAGTGAGCAATCAGGTCAAGCTTAAAGCCCTAGAGAATGACCAGATCAAGTTAGGGGCCATAGAGGAAAATCAGGTCATGTTTGAGGGCCAGGAGGGACATGACACAGTAGATGTTGCGATAGTGCCAGAAGGTGAGTTACAGCTGCTGTTGTTGGCTCACATCCCGACGAAGGGAGAGCCAGGCATGCTGACCGAAGGAAATTTGGGTGGTCGTAGATCCTTGGCCACGAGGGAGCAACACGACGTTCTCCCTCGTTCCCCAACACATTCTTCCTCTGCCTCCTCCTTCGAGTACGTCTTCTTGAAGTCTTCCTCATTTGACTATATTATTTTTAATGAAACAGACCACACCATTAACTGGTATGGTTAGAGGATTGGAATGAGCCAAGAGGTGGAAAAAATAAAATAAATTCATAGAACAATTATGTGTGTGTGTGTAGACACACACAAAACACATACAAATAAATAATAATGGGAAAATCGTCTCACAAATAATTAATCGGGAACTTATAATAGAAATTGGAAAAACTTATCAGAAAATGGGAAATGTTATCATCATAGAAAATGGGAGATTTTTTCATCATATAAAAAGTGAAATTTCTCATCATACAAATTTGGAAATTTTCTCACCACAGAAAATTTAATATTTTCTCAATATAGAAAATGGAAAATTTTCCTCTGAGACTAAGCAGCTGGTGTCCAATCTTTATTAATTACAGAAACAAACATACATTCATAATTACCCTTTATAAGTATTATAATCAGAACATTTCCTTAATGGGAGACTTGACAATGCACAGCAAGTGCAATACAGTATCACTTTTTTTATATACACTCAAATATTCACTTAAACTGATTGACAAATACAAAGTACAGTAGTAAAGAAATCATATTAAGTATTACTTCTTTACTACTGGCAGTAACAATTGACCCCAAAAAGATGCTTCATGGAATTATATTCTTAAGTTACTGAAACTACAACAGAGCACCTTAACTGCTATCATATAATAAATTAAAGTTTTCATAAAGGTGTTATCAATATGCCCTGAATTTTTATATACCGGTATTAGTGCACAAACCCCAAATGTTGGTAATCACAAACCTCAGCTATTATCCCATACACAACACAGATCCTGGAAAAAGTATCAAGAGATAATTTAATGATTACAATGGAATGGAATGACTTAAGGTATCACAAAACTTTGACAGAGTTTTGTTTATTTTGATGTACACACTAAAAAAACCAAAAAAACACTATGAATCAATATGACACCATGGACGATGGATAGGCAAATCAACAGCACATATTGCACATTACAATGTTAAGAGTCAATGATCTGCACTATGAAGGCAGTGGAGTGAACTTCAACACCATTCCACCTTGCAGAGGCACACTCAGGTGTACACCCAAGTACAGTATTGTAAAATCTGGACTGGTGAAATGGCGAATACAAAAACCCTGTAATTTATTATTTCAAGTACATGTTTGTGCAATATTTACTTTTTTATTATTTCTCCCAAATTATCACAAATTTAATTTCACTGTGTGCAAAAGTTATCCTATATGCTGGGTTCTGCATGGATGCAACCCCTGTGCGTAATGAGAGTTTATTGCAGTTTGTTCAGAAATTCAACTTTATGAGAAGAAATGTTTAAGAATAAAGAATGCTTGAACTACTGACAGGTAAGCTGGTAGTATTATCACCCCCAGAGTTGCAACCCAGCCTGCTAGCTAAGAAGATGCTTGTAAGTCTTGCATATGTCAAGTTCCCACTCTAAAAGTGAGTTAGTGATACGAAGGGCAGCCAGCCTTAAAACTTGCTTAAAATTTGCCTGATGGCATACAGGACATCATGCACTCAAGTAATCACATCTAACAAAAGAAATCAAGGAATATTTACTGTAAGATGGAACATCTCCATTTATCACAATGTCTTTTCAAATGTACAGTAAGACATATATTGTAGTAGATTGATAATTTAATCAATATTTAAGATAAAAGAGGTTCTTATAACAGTTGCTGCTTTAGGCTGGCATTCTCTTTTTTCACTTGATTCAGATCAGTCTTAAGTTGTGTCAAATTCTCCTCCACTTTTTTGCTCTTCTCAAGATCAACCTGGAAAAAATCGAGAAGGGTTTTGGAGTTTACCCACAGTAATAACTACACCTGTACATACCCTGGAATAAAACTAATAACCCAATAATGGTTTCCATATACTTGAGCATAGTTTTAGTTTTTATGATAAAATTTTTATGCAAAAAAAGTAGAGCAACTACTGTATACAGATTGGGAATCCTTTATCCAAAATGCTTGGGGCTGAAAGGGTCTCGGATTTGGTATATTTTTAGATTTTGGAACACCTACACCTGTATAATGCAGTAGCTCACCCAGCAGGGATGGGGCCCAAGTCTATTCATAAAATTCTTTTATATTTCATTTAAAGTATATATATGGATGCATATAGTGTGTGTGTGTTTATATATGCAATACCTGTACAGTATATAAATATATATATATGTTGGGCTCAAAGACCGAAAACGACCAATGGTTTTCTTTTTGTAAACAGGATATTAACACATCTTCATCATCCATCAGCACTAACATTGGTCGATATTCATATTAATATTCTTCCCATCTCTTTTGGATGAGAATTCATTCGAATCAAACTGTTCCATTGTCAGATGCACTCTGTGAGTTGAACAGAGGGTTAGCATAGTGACCTGACATCCAGGAAGGGTGCAACAGGCTCTGTGCCCTTTACTGCGAGTGTATAATGAACTGGTTATCATCACATGTTTCCTTCGAGGTTAAGGGAACTCTGGAAGGTGTAGTGGAGTCAGCACTCTGACTCCCACACAGCTTCACAATGTCAATCTTCATTCCCAGAAACATGGTTTTCTTGGGTGCCTTGGCCTTCCCAGACATTTTCAAAGTTAAACTGCTCACTTCAGTCAGAAAAACAGAGCAATAGTACTTGTCACAAAAATAGAGCAACCGATAATGTAAAAACAATGATAGCGATCAACAGGGCTCACATCATGTTCATAACAGAGGCAAAGCACTTTACAGTCACCAAAACAGAGTGCAATGATGTTCCTACTATCAAATGAATTACAAGGTAATATTGAGGAGGCATTATCCCAGTCAATGCAATGCTTGTTATCCCTCAAATGAACAAACAGAACATTGGATTCCTGGCCTGTCCTAACACTATATTTATGTTGTTTAAGTCTAGTTACAAGATCTTTATCTGTCTGGCCTAAGTAAAACATATTACATTCCTTGCAAGGAACTTTATAAATGCAACCAATTGTGTTGTTGGGGGAGTTCTTGATTAACATTTGTTTAACAGTGCATGAGTTTTTAAATGCCACATTGACGTTCCAGGTTTTTAGTTGTAAAGGAATGTGTGAGAAATTTTTGTGAAATGGTAATATTAAGATATTCTTATGGTCATGGGTAATTCAATTGATAGTAGGAACATCATAAAATCTAGTCTCATTAAACATACTGAAGCATTCAACATGAATTTGAGTAATGGCATGTACAAACTGGACAATTTTGTAATTAAGAAGATTTGTAACCAGGTGAGAAGGTTGGGTCACCTTACCCTCTGACCTGACTACCGACCATTGCGGTGCTATTTAAAGATTAGTAGGGTCATTACCTAATCCTTGACCATTGTGGACCTGATCTCACCCTCCTCTGTAAATATACACCTTGTTTTGTACTTCTCTTTAGTCTGTACTCAACCCCTGAAGATGTGAATTACATGAAAGCGCTTGGGAACTTCGTGTTTTCTTCTTTCCTTGTGGTTATCAGCATATACCTAGATCACGTGCACCTACAGTGATTTACTTGCATATATATATATATATATATATATATATATATATATATATATATATATATATATATATATATATATATATATATATATATATATATATATATATATATATATATATATATATATATATATATATATATATATATATATATATATATATATATATATATATATATATATATATATATATATATATATATATATATATTATATATATATATATATATATATATATATATATATATATATATATATATATATATATATATACAGTATATATATCCACACACAATACAGGTAAAAGAAATAATTGTCCTTAGGGCTAACACAAAGGGAATATACATTTCTTTGTATGCAAGTAAAAATGGACACACCCCCCCCCCAGGACCTACTGTACATTTAACTACTCTTTTCACAACTCTATGGAGAATATTCAACTACATGTACAAAATACAGTAAAATAAAACATTTTATAAATAATATTACCAACATCCTTCATACTTTGTTAAACAAAGAAATAGTTGATTGATGATAGCTGAAAATTTATTAGAAACATCTCAAAGCTATTACACTTACCTGTTCTCTTAAATCAGCTATTTCTCTCTGCACAGTCCCAGTATCACGTACAATATCCACCAGTTCACCACAGCCTTCGTGCACAGCTGCCACTGCTCGGTAAACTTGACGCACGCGTTCGTTGTTAGCCGCCTCCTGCAAATATAAACAAGTTTTGTATCTATATTTATACAGGAAATATATTCTACCTAATGAATCGTGCAGGTTCAAATTCATTACTACACTGAGTACTAAATTACTTTTTAACAGACTTCTGTGTTGATAGTATTCGTTAATAAACAGTGGTCTATATACTGTACAAGATACAGTATACCAAATGAATATTCTGTTTACCATGTTAATTTACCATATCATACCAGTATTTTTTTTTAATTTCCAGAAAGTGAAATCAGTTAGATGAGTTGGCAGAAAAGTTACTTGGTACAGTATGCTAATGGTCTCAAAACCCAGAAGAAAGTTACGAAAATCAGATTGTTTGCCCATCTACCTTTATATGTATAAATCAGTGACTGTTGTATGGACATTTGCAGTGCACAGCTACAGTTTTGGCCACAGTAGTCAGCTTCTCCCCTCCCCCCAAAAGAACCCCCCACATTAAAACTACATCTATTTTTCTGCGACTTTTGTTACGTTTAACTAAAATAAATAAGATAAGGAGTTGAAATTTGGTTTGCTCTTGTAACTGGCCCCCAAGATTGCTCACAAACATATAAATAGGGGTTGGTCCCCACCCACCTAAAAGTGGGTCCCCCTGTGCACCACCACATTTTTAACAGAAAGCTCAAATTTAGTAAGCTTATTTTTGTTTTTGCATCTTCAATGCAAAATAGCATTAGTGCGATCTGGCAGCTATGTGGACTGCACTCCAAGGTCACCACACCAGTCTCCCATCTGTATTTAAAGGACCCAGGATATAACGTTCACCCAAGTTTTTCACGCATTTTCTTGCGGCTTGTGCCGATTTCTCATACATCAGTGATTTTATTTATTCACAAGTGTTGTTAGAATTCTGAACCATGCCTCGTGTTGATGGCGAGGGTGTGGGGGGGGTGGGAAAACATAAAACGTGCAAGGAGATTGCACCACGTGGTGATAGTGTAGTGCCTCCTGATGCCTCTCCCGAGCAAAATATTAATTTTGTCACAACTTTTCTTCTATATTTCTTTTTCCTTAACATGTACACTTTATCAGAGAATAAGGTTCATATTGCACTTACATGAAATAACATGATTACATATATAAAACTGTTTGTAGGTAATTTATTTACAATGCTAATGCAACAAATTCAACCTTTTTATCTCAAATCGATTAAATTTTGTACAATAAAAGTTAACTTTACTTCAAAAACAAACCCATGCAACACTGGGTACCTCAGCCTGTCTAATATATACAGCACAGTGAGGATGTTTGTTATATAGAGCTACAGTTTTGAAGGCAGCGCCAAAATTTAGCATGAAGATGCACGAGAATGATGTCCGGGTGTTGTGGCAGCACACATTCTGGTTAACTTTACTTAGTCAAAAAGAAACCCAGGCAAAGACAGGTACTCCAGCTAGTAGTTAGGAAACAATTCTTGTAATTCAATTATGAAAGTTCCTAACAAAAGCCAATTCAAGTATGGCATATAATGTGCCTAACCACATTATTTTTTAACCCATCCAGCTAAAAAGTTACATTTTCTAGAGCCAAATGAGCAAAGATTTAGCTGGATATAATAGTAAATTTGTTCTATGAAGTCAATAGTACCTGTAGTAATAATAAACTAGTATAACATTGTTTTTAAATCCTAAAAGCCTGTCCTGGTATACACGGTGACTGCTATTAAAATTAACACAGGCAGACTCCCTTCACCCATACTGTTATAATAATGGGCATGTTCCTTCTATGATACGCCCTTTACACAACAAGGTCCCAAAGTTTTGTCTTGTTAATCACTGTTGCTTCATATAACCAAACATCACTCATCAGCAGTATGTCCATTCCTAAAAATCAGTTCCAAATATGCTGTCTGCTCCCTATAATAATAATAATAATAATGAGGTACCTTATAAGCAGTTCCTTCAACCACTGTGAAGGTTCGCTCCAGTTTTCCAGATAAAATGTTGATTTCTTTTTGTATGGTTCTAGTGTCTGCAAGCACACGGTCAATTTCTTGTTTTTGCTTACGAACCTTGGCACTAATATCAATTATTCTCTTGGTATACACAGATCTGGAAAAACTCAAGAATCAACAAGGCACAGAATAAAGATTACTTCATAACAATGTTTTGTTTTTTTAATTACATATCAATCTTATCACCATGTACACCATCACTACTTTCATGGTTATGTTCTCCTGTTCTGTAAAAGAATAGACTAACAGATATCCTCCTCTGGATGGTAAAGTACAGTACTTTCACCTACTGCGCATCTCCTGCAGCCTCTTGTATACAGCAGGCCCATCAAATTCGCGGGGGCTACCGTAGGCTCTCAAAATGGCCGCAAATCGCCAAACCCGTGAATAACATTTGTTGACCAAGGGGGGCAATCAAGTATTGCCCTTACTGACTTCAAAATTTCTTTGCCATAGGATTAAACTCGTACCTTTTTAAGTTTTAAAATCCTATGTCATGTCCTTACACTCTTCCCTTGAGAATTAAATATCTTTTCCCAAAATATATCTACCAACTCCAGACTTTTACTTAGTCATTCATATTCACCAATTTAACTACACACAATAAATGTCCTAAATACTTTCAGATTTTGTATCACCCAAGTTGCTCCTTACTGTATTTATAATGTGACTATGAATTAGATCTTAGATGTAGTGGTCTAAACTGCCACACTATTCTGTTGCTCACACTTATAACAAGCAGGTTTGATTAAGATTTCATTTTTGGCTATCATTCCAAAGGCAATGCAGCTTGAAAATATTGTACTATGTAATACTATGTGTATAGTATGTAATGAGTGTAAGGGCACTGAACACTAAAGCCCAATAAGGTATGAGTTCAATCCCAAGGCAAAGTAATTTTAAGGATAATAAGGGCAATACTTGATTGCCATTGCATCTCACTATATGCTGGAATACAGTACAGTACAGTACAGTACCTATTTATATCCTTATTCATCTTCTCAACTTGACCTTTGAGTTGTGCTAAGGCAGTTTCCTTCCTGGATGCATCTTGGACCATTGCCTTCATCTTATCTCGTAGCTCCGACATTTCAGCTAAAATCTCTTCTTTATTTACCTGTAACAAAAGCATCACCTCTTAAATAAATTTTAGCTAAATACAGTACAGAATATGATGATAAGCTTACTAACAGATATAAGGTTAAAAGAAAACTGACTCATAAACCCAGAATATAGTCCCAAATAATCAATCTTATTACCATATCACATTACAAATGAGATGGTTTAAAATAAGTCAATGAAAGTTGCCTTAGGATTAAGTTACACATTAGGGTTCTGGTGTGTTGTTTACCAAAATACAATCTTTCGTTTGCTGAGTTCTTAAATAAAGAGATTGTTAATTTATAATGTACCTTCTTGTTGGATGCTTCAAGAGTCAGCTGAGACAGTTGTTCTTCTAGCGGTTTTTTATGGGCTTGCCACTGTTGCTGAAGGCGCACCATTTTCTCTTCACTGTTCTTCAGTGCACCCTTAAATAAAAGTATATGGCCAGTTAATAATTTGTTAAAAGATAAAAGCAAAAAAAAAAAATTCAAAAATAATTATTTTTATAATAATTTCAGTAGCAATATAATACTCCCTTCCCTCATTTTACAAATGTGTTGTACAAGTATTCTGATAAAAGCTTGAACAAAGGAAATAACATTTTACATGGTAAAAGTGGGGTTGTGTTCCAGAATAAAAATACTGTGTGAGTGATCATCAAGAGCAACACATTTTCTAATTTATTTTTTACATTATATATGCAAACACCCAAATCATTTTTAGTTTCAAAACTCACCTGTAACCTTTGAATATTTGCTGCTGATTCTGGCAAAAGACTGGATGTTCTCTGTTTCATTTTGAGTTCTGTCACAGTCTCCTCCTTCAACCGCTCTTCTTTTATAAGATCATCAGTAAGCTGAAGAATACATGATAAAACACAGTACAATAAAAGTTAGTGCAGTAGTGCCGTATTCACCACAATTTGAACACTGCACAATTGGCATCTCAGGACACATTTTTTTAAAACTAAAGTTTCATATATATATATATATATATATATATATATATATATATATATATATATATATATATATATATATATATATATATATATATATATATATATATATATATATATATATATATATATATATATATATATATATATATATATATATGTATATATTGGTAGTTCTGCTATAACGCCGATAATTGTGTTCTTGTAAAATATCTGTTATAGAAAATCGCAAATAGAAATAACAGGGCTTATGGAGAAAATAGGGTTAGGTGCAGTTTACTCGAAATCGAAAAAATTTAGTAGTTAGCCTAACACAAAGGATAGCACAGTCTAAATAAATGTTACATTCATATCTAATAATGAAATCATACAGTAAATTTAACACTTTACCTTGAAAAAATATGAATGTAACTTGATGGGGAGAAGGGTGATTTTGAGGTTGATAACATCAAGCTTCTCTTCAAGTGTTATATCCTTTCTTTTACGATAATCACCGGGAATTCTATCATCAGAATGCTTTTTGGAGATATTCTTCTTTACCATATTCACAGTTAATACCACAAAATTGGAGAAATAGTAAGCAAAAATCGCGTTATAGCAAACAAGCGTTCGCGTTATACAAATATTGTTCCGAATTCATAAATCGCGTTAGAGCAAATTCGCGTTATCAAAACACGCATTATAGCAGAACTCACTGTATATAGATATATATATATATTTCATGTAGATACACAATGAAAACGTGGATAAGATAAATCTTGATAAAATCACACGGGAAAAGGGAAACAACAGAGCACCTCAGCTTTCGTCTTTATTCAAGACATGCTCCGTTGTTTCCCTTTTCCCGTGTGATTTTATCAAGATATATATATATATATATACTGTGTATGTATATATATATATATATATATATATATATATATATATATATATATATATATATATATATATGTGTATATATATATATATATATATATATATATATATATATATATATATATATATATATATATATATATTTTGTAGCGTACTGTACTGTACAATTTTGTAAAATTAAAATGCAGTTGTGGCAGGTTTCACTCTCCAGAATGGGAGAAGTTTCAGCCTATGTAGAGAGTTTAAATTTGTTTTGGCCATCACCATCCAATGTTTTCAGATTCAACACCTTCCACCCAAATGTCAGGCACCATGGTTCAGTTGCTGTATTTTGCTTCATTTCAAGTGAAAAATAAATATTCAACAAGAATTACTTAATTAAATAAATGCAGAAAAAATTAAATTGAAAGAAGACAGTAAAGTGCAGAAAGTAAACCTAAATAAGCTTAAGAGAAGCATAAATCTTGAAGAAAAACTTTGTGGTTTAGTGTTTTGAAAAAGGAAAATGCCGGAGCAATACTACACATAACTTTAACTTCACAACTTCTATAATTCTCTGAAATAAAGTCAAAATTAAAACTTCTATTGAAACAATCAATGCAAAAGCTCTCAATAAATGCATATGATCATGTAGCAATTGGTCAAGTACTTAGCAACTGGACACCTATCTCTCTCTCTCTCTCTCTCTCTCTCTCTCTCTCTCTATTTTGCAATTTAACATCACAAATCTTTTATTTATTGGATATATTTATATAAGAAAATTGTAGGCTTGTGAATAAACAGGAATTTTTTTCACATGCAGCTTGGTCATCTCCCATGGGGACATATTGGGGGTGTTACACACATGATTATTGAAAATTAGGTTTTCTGATAACGTATACAAAATTTTCAGAAATATCTTAAAATATTTTCAACAGAATAAGTGAAATACTATACATGTAATGAAGGACATGGAGGTTACTGAGGAAGAGTGCCACTCGTTGCAATGTAGAGCAAGACTATACGGCCCAGCCAAGTCATATGGTTTTAATTTGGCAGTGACGTACCAACAATAAGACTACAGTACTGTACCTATCCACAATTTGAGATGTTTTGCTTTCACAGGGTTTGATTTCTGATAAAGTTTTATCTGGAAAAGAAATGCTGAACATGTCCATTTAACATTTCATTCTTTCTACTCACATTGAATCAAACTCTGGGAACAGTCAAAACATCTGAGTCAACCTTTTGCCACTGCTTCACGTGGCAATCCTGTGAGCCATGAAAACTAAAACATCACAGTGTACAGTACAGGTATATGTATTTTATTTTTTGCTAAGTTCAGACTAAATGTGGGTTACAGTGTTAAAATGTGTTCTGAAATGATGGAATTTGTGTTGAAGTTAGAAAAAGTGCAGTCCCAATGAAATGCCAGTATATAAAAAGATAAAAAGGATTTGATATTGTACAACAATTCACGGTCTCACTCTTGTGATATGTCAAGATTATACTATACACAAGAAGAAGTAACATAAAAACTCAGGCACACAATTTTGGGGGTACTGTATAACTTTCAGAACATTTCCTTTGAAATCCTTTACTGTAATGTAATATAATATATTGATAAAATGATTTTATCTTCTATTTTCAGTGACCAGAAGAATAATTTATTAAAAACTTCGTTTTAAAGCCAAACTTGCTTAAGAAATTAAAAATAAGAAAAGCTTAAGGGAAGGTTCACATTGGGCCTATGTGTCTTCTCAATATCTGTTGCAACAGTGGCCTATGTCATAGGCCACTGTTGCAACAGATATTGAGAAGACACATCTTTTAATGTGTAAGCTTACCTTAGCCAGTGCATCTACAGCATCCTGAATTCCCTGTGTACATTCTTCAGTTTTGTTTGTGACATTGCCAATTTCAGTCTGAAGCCGAGATAACTGTTCTTCCCGCTTCAACCTAATTTGCTCTTCTGTGGTTACACCAGCTTCTGGTGCTGACACATCTGTTCCCAGATTTACCTCCCTTTCAGATTCCTGAAATAATTAAAAGATTACATAAGTACTTATTCTGAAATAAAAATCTGACATTCTAAGTTGATAAAATTATTAATGTAGCATGTTCACCTAAGCAGTTCAAAGCAAATAGCATGGCAAGACTGACCAGTCTAATATATAAGTTCATATAATAATTAAATTACAATACAAGGACTGGAATAACTACTAATTTAAAAAAACCTATAGAAATCACATTTGTAGAAATTGTATAATGTACTATATTATATTTAAGCAAATGTTATATCATCTTACTTTAATATCAATCATGTGTTGGGCAGTTTCAAAAGAGGAAAGAGGAGACCATCCAGACAATGGCACATCAAGAGGGTTCAGCTGCACATCTTCAGTAACCAGAGGTTCTAGCGTGTGAGCCTCTGATTTTCCCTGAAATTTCATATATCATAAATATTCTGTAATGACTGAAATACGGGCTACTATATTGACAATATCATCATTAATATTAAAATCTCAAGATTGTACATAAGATATTTTAGTAATTCTAATTAATTATAACATTGTGTTGGATGCTAGTCACATTTAGTACTGTATGTAGATATGTCAAAACAAGATTTCTGTATTTATTAACATGTTTATGCCAACTTCCTGAAACCCTCTGTAATATTACTTTCTTGTACAGATAAATATACAATTCCTTGCAGCATTTCTCGTATTTTTCCTTTCTTAAACTATACATCTATTTTTACTAAAACTGAATTCAACAAATACATTCCATGATTATGTCTGAGATTAATCTATTATGAAACCTTATTATACCTAGAACTGCAGCTCAGCATTAAAATTAATGAAAAAAAAACAATCATTTTATACCTCCTCTTCAGTATTTTTAGGAAGAATTTGGTCTCTTTGAAGTTGAATGGCATGCGAGTTAAGGAGTGTTGCTATCAAATATTCGTAGCCAACCATCTTAGTTATCCTTCTTGAATAATTCTCATAGTAGGTTCTTAATCCTGCAAAATACAATTAAAATGTTAAGAATAATTTACCAACCTGACCCTGGCAAATTAACCATTTCGGCGTGATCGCCACACCATATGCGGTAAACAATGCCAGTGAGATCGCCACACCAAGGGCCGTATTCACAGTCGTCATGCCTGATGGTGAGTCCTGCCAATGGGCCCCATACGCTTGTGTGAGACGAGGTCATTCAAGAAAGTGCTTCGGACAATACAATGGCTCGGGATCCCAATGAACCAGGCAGGGCTACTGACATTTCCAAATTGACTGGATGGCAAAAAGTCACCACAACCCAGGCACTGAGTATCCCAACACTAAAAATAATTCACATCATATGGCCAAACAAACATAAAAGTGTAAAGAGGATATCTATGGGATATAGAAATTATTTTTGTGTGGTGTTTGTGAGATGTTTTGAATGTTATATTTTATGGTGTTGACCACACTGGGATAACTGATGGTTGAAGTACAGCAAGTCAGCTAACACAATAATATACAGCATGAAGGCATAGAAAATATGAATAGCCATGAATGGAATGTACTGCTCTCTTTTAAACAGTGTAGTGCTCTTGTTAGCCTTATTCAAGAGAATGGCAAAGTTGTACAGTACAAGAAAAGGCACATTTTCATCCATCCTATAATATGGCCTTACCTTTTAGCAAGTGGCTACTTAGACAAGAATTCCAAACCTAACCTAATCACATTCTTTCTGTAGCCTCATCAGCATTTCACAATTTTTTTTTTTTTTGTAAATGATTAAATGTTTTAAAACGTTAATATTATTACATTCTGCTTTACTTCATTTCTGTTACTCATCCTTGAATATATAGTATATAGTGGCGCGGTGTTGTTTATGCATGGCTGCACGCTCACAATCAGCCGGGAATATTTAACACTTGTAGATAACTAACAATCTTTGAATGTACTGTATATGGAAACAAAATGTTCTTTCACCAATAAACTTATTTTCTATCAGTTATGAATAAATTTTATCTCAATATATCAAAATTTGGAGGGTGAAAAACATTTTTTATATTCATCTACTGGGACTGCCTTCGGGTCTGTGGCATCTCTGATGACCTCACCTGATGCTGATCCCGATTATATCATGAATGAGTTATAATATGAGTGCAAGAGGCAGGGGTCAGGGGGAGTGTTACTGCCACAGTAGGATAAACTAGAAGAGAGAGAGAGGGATAGAGAGAGAAAGGGAGACAGAAGAGAGACAGAGGGAGTGTTTACAATGAACTTTGTCGAGGTGTTAAATGTGAAACAGATGGCCCTCGCCTCGGGGCTAAGTAACTCGCTCCCTGTGGGGTTCAGAAGATAGTTTCTAGCCGTCCAGTGAGTTAACAAGTCAGGAAGCTAATAAGTCCTATATTAGACCCGAAACACAAAAGTTCTTATATGGTTTAACAACCCACTCTACTCAAATATATCATATGTAGTTGTTAATAGTGAAAGAATGTACGAGTGAATTAATTATCTCATATGTAACATATGTAATTTGTACTTTCCAGGTTTTGACCGAATAAAGAACAATCGAGTCCTATTTGCAAGGGTCTCATTATCCCACAGTCGCTCAACGGGAGGTTACAGTCAAAACAGAGAACAATGTAAACTTAGTAATCTCCTCTCACGGTAATGTAAAAAATAAATAAATAAAAATAAAAGAGATGATTACCGATAAACATTGAGCTCCATTTCTTACACACATATAACCAAGAAGAAACAATGCCTGGCTTGTAGTTCACCAGATGGCCATGAAGCAGCATCAGGGTAGATGATACCTCAGCTGACAAATAAAGTGAGTGATACGTTCCATATGCCGAGTTGGTGGGATAATTAATATCGTTAATGAGAGTTTGTTTACATGGCAAATAAGGAAGTTGTCTGAATGCAGATTACTGTAGATTGGGATAGTGCAAATAGAGGCTTACTGTACCCTATTGCACACATTCCACTAATTATGTTTAAATTCTTTCAATCATTGAGTTCACTGAAAATTCTTATAAAATTTTTTGAAACATTTTGTGGAATTTTAAGACAATTTGTGGATTTTTTTTCTAAGGAATCAGATTTTATAATAAGAGTCTACTGGAAAATTTGCATCGATTTATGAGAGCTTGTCTGGAATGGAACCCTCTTCATAAATTAGGTTCTGCCTACATCAATTCAAATTCAAATATGCATTATAAAGAATTACATTAAAAAGTTATTGATAATAAAGTAGCACTAAATTTACCATATGTAGATGAGAACAAAATTCTATTTTTTGGGGGATACCTGTTACTAGTGGTGTTAAACAAGTATTTACTCAAGTAACATACCTGGAGATACTTTTGATGGACTCTCTACTGATGAGTAAGGTTTAGACATAAACTGTCGTGTGTGGTAAGTGCCATGGTTTGTCACAGAGGCCCGAGTAGCATAACTGCGAGCGACATGTCTACAGTGGGCAGGTATCCAGGACTGGGTGAGTGATGCACATAGTTTCCTTCTTGCTTCTTGATGAATAAGTGCAGCCTTGTCTGTAATAAGATACAGTATATAAATCTACTATAAGGGATGTACATAAAATAACACCTTTTATATATATATATATATATATATTTTTTTTTTAAATCCTAGCATTTCATACTGTTCGCTTTGTTTCAAATCTATTTTACCCGAAAGTAAAGGTACTGGTATACAGGAGTGTAAAATTATTTCTATAGTGTACTATGCTGCATATATTTCACTCATATGTTTATCTTTGACTTATAATCATTTTAAGACAATTTATGGCTGCATTTTCTTTAGACTCATATCTCAGCTTTTACAATGGGAGTCTATGGGAAAATGTGTTTTAATTTATGAAAAATAAATTTGCAAAAGGTTTTTCTTGAATGGAGCTCTTTCATAAATCTGGGAATCTTTGTACTGTTCAGTAAAGCACTGCCTTGTATTTTAGGGTAATGATCATCAATGGATAAAATCCACCTGAAACAGATCTGGAGGCAAAATGCGAATACTAATGTCTTTGCTGACCATTAACTCTGAAAAACATTTACTTAAATAAGAATGTATTATTAAGCAATCTTAAGGTCATATATCCAATGACCAAACTTTTCAGCTTTCACTCACTAATATGTAAAGTATGACCAATACTGTCCATCTAACACACACACAATAAAGTATTGATTTATAATCATGCTCTTACTGAGAGGCTCATCAGAGACCGCAGCTGTGTCCTTGGGCAGTTTCTCTATCAGAAACATAAATATTTTCCTCAAGTCAGTTTCATTTGGGTAGAGCAATGACTGGTAGCCAACATCACCAGGATATCCAACATCCTGAAAGAAAGGACTGCATGGAAGTCATGATAACAGGAAAATTAATGCTGTCAATTGTTTCTTCCTATTGAAATTCATTAAATCAAAAATTAAATGTAATCATGGCAATCTTTGAAGGAGGAACATTGAACTTGTGTTGAAAATAAAATAAAAATACAATTTGTGTACAGGTACTAAGAAATAATGTACGTACATGTATACTATTCCTTTTATGTGTTTGCCCTTAGGACAATTATTTATTTTGCGTGTAGTATTGTATATGTGTGTGTGTGTGTAGACACACACACACACACACACACACACACAAAACACATACAAATAAATAATAATTGGAAAATCCTTTCACAAATAATCTGAAACGAATATATAAAAAATGTGACAATCTACCCTCCACCCATGCTCTATTAATAAAGTACAGTACGCTGTACTGTACTGTGATAGAGAACGGATATGGGGGCAGACTCACATTTTTAATAAATTTGTTTCTGATTATTTATAAGAGGATTTTCCTATTATTATTTATTTGTATGTGTTTTGTGTGTGTGTGTGTCTACACACACACACACACATATATTTACAATTCAGGTAAAGGAAATTACTGTCTCTAGAACGAATGGCTCCCTGTCCCAGCTGTGAAAATGCCGGCAACTTTAAAACTACCCACAGACATTCTTGGGTACATCCAGGGTGTCATCCGCGAATAACCAAGAACTGCAAAGTAAAAATCCGCGAACTTGGGGGGCCCCCTGAACAGTATTTCAATCCAGTGTCTTAGTTCCAAGTCCCCCATTCTCAATTTCAAAATCTTGGACTTTTAAAATGACTTGACAAATTTGTACACAAAAATCTAAGAATTGGAAAAGAAAAAGACTATTCAGACTTGATTGTCTATTATCTCCAAAAGGGGTTATTGAACTCATCAGACTAAATAATTAATACCAACTCTCACTTCCAGTTAGCTTATGCAGTACCTTTAACATTTTTATCATCCACTCTTCATCAAAACTTACCATCATTCATGCCAACTCATCATCAGATTCTGCAGAAGTTTCAATCTTTTAACTGTCTTATTCCGTTCAGCCTTCAGGGTCACACCGGCAGGGTGACCTTGTGCCTGAAACTTTTATGACAGACTTCTACTTTTGCTCTCCCTCAAAAAAATGATTTACCGTACTACTAATGAACATTTAAACAACATGAAAAGTATTTTAAGTAAATTCACAGCAAATTATTGCAATGAACAAAACTTACCGATGATATTTACCATTGATAAATACAGTATAGTACAGTCCTGTATTGGATTTTGACACCATCCTCCTCAATAATCCATTTATTAAACAGTTGCAAGCACTGTACTGTACAGGGTGATTATTTTATTCAAGAGCCCGAAATAATTGCCACACTGTACTGTACAGTGCACCAAAAACTATATCAGAAACCTAATATTTTCCATAAATGTTGCCTTATGTTACAGAAAAAGTGACCCATCAGTGGAGTTTAATGGTTTTCACTCAGTCACACCATGGCCCTCACTGTGTTTGTTGTCTTTTTGGGTGTGCTGTGTTTGTGATATGAGTGCCATGGTGTGACAGAGTGAAAACTCTTAAATGCCACTGATAGACAACATAAACACAACACAACCCAAAACACAACCAACACAGTGAGCACCATGATGTGACCGAGTGAAAACTGTTAAACACCATTCACGGGTCATGTAATTATACCTCTCACGATAATGTCATGTCTTTCTGTAACATTTAGCAACATTTAAACAAAGTAATAGGTTCCTAACTGATACGGTAAAGCATTTAGTGTATGGGAATTATTTAGGGTTCTTGAATAATAACGAAAATAATCACCTTGTATAAGCAACAGAAAGAAATTCATTACCTTCACTGCCTGTGCAATTGAAGCTGCGACTCTGAAGCGCTGGGCCATGTTTTGTGGCAGAGACGTGGGTAATTCACAGTCACTATTAATAGTCCGAATGCACCGGACCACTCCACTCACTACTTCTTCAATCCCAAAACCTCCAACACTTTTCACTTTCTCATCAATGTCACTAGAAAAAAATTAAATACACTCAATAACTAATATACAATTTTCAGAAATATGTCATCTAGCTTAACAAATAAATCTAATTATTATTGTGTTACCTATTTTAGTGGACAAATTCAACAAAAATAATATGTACGGTACCCAGTATGAGAATGTGTGATCTTGTAAAATACAATTACGTACAGTACTACCTGTAGCTTCATGCTTATGGCATTTAACTAATATTGTACACCATTTGATAATTCTAATTAAAAATCTTTGTGTTTTGTTAGTACAGTACACTACTCTACTGTACAGTATTAGTTTTTTAAGTCCTTATTTTAGTACTCTTGTACAGTATAGTATTTGTGCAAGAAAGGATGAAAAAATTCCTTTACGTTCAAAACTTCTTTCACATTTCATTTGCCATCATACTGTGTACAGTACTGTATGGTGAGCCTTTATTCTGTACGTATTAGTCAATCAATGGGTTACTGTTGGAAGAGAATCTAATGAAAATTAAGTGTGTGGCCTTCAAAATTAATACCAAGCCATTGTTACAAGAGTCAACATGTACTACAAATGGGGCACATCACATCAATTTTCACAGGCTTCTTTTTCTATATAATCATAATGTGTTTGTTGTTAATCAAACAAAATGTGTTTATAACTAAATTGATAAAAATTTTCAATATCTTTTTCTAAAAAAAGTTTAAAATACAGGTTTTGATTGTCATACAACTGACTGATATATGCTCGATCAGTTTAACGATGTTAATAAATTAGCACGAAGTACTGTACCACTATGTGCTGGCTAAGATCAGGTTTACTATGGTCATTATCCGATGGCTACCTGAATTCTTTTATGGATTGTCGCTCTATGAAAAAGTGATGTGCAATAATTCGCAATATTCTAAAAGAGGATATATTTATAGTCGATTTTTTGCAGTTACCGTATGAAAGATCTTGTTTGCATGTAACAGTAAAAAAAAAAAAGTATGTCTACCCCGCTGTGATAACTCCGCTCACATAGGAAATGTGTATTTGCAATAATTTTTTGACCTCACAATATTGTTTTTTGCACAATCTGTATGAAACATTGTGTGTGCAGGTATAAAAAAATCCAAATAAATCATAATGTCTATCCACAATTACGAGTTGAAAAATAACCGCTGTAAGTACGAACTCCAGCTCTTCAGGGTCTCAGGAACTGAACCTATTTTCACGAATACGTTATTAATATCAATATATGATCGATCACTTTATGATGACTTTTCAAAGTCCTTAACACCATCGTATGATGGTCAACACCTATACAGTATTTACAAGCATTGAAAAATAAAATAAATGCACTGTACTGTATACAATAATATGATATTGTAATTTGTAGAATCTAGTCAATATTTTCAGTGCAGAATGGTCTGGATACCATTTACTGTATCTTTTCTTTCTTTTGCAGCAACCCAATATATTGTATACTACAATACGTGATCCACAGTAAAGAAGTGTGTGATCCATGGTAGAATGGCATTTAATCCAATATGCCATGGTATATGTGTTATTTGTGTATGTAATCTCCAGCACTCAAGTACGTACAATACTGTACAGTACAGTATAATTATGATCCATTATACCTGAGAAAGAGTACCACTCTGTCCTAACCAATGATCCATTATAATTCACAGCAGCGCAGTGTATGGTCCAAGTTTCTTTATGCCATTTGCCCCTGTCTATCCAGCAGTAATTGGGAACCTGGATGTTAATCGATTAGCGGATCGTGTTCCGGGGTAATGGTTAGCCAGTGCAGTTGGCGAGTTGTCTGGTCTTCTTGGACTATTCCTTGACACTGGGTCATGGAACTTGTTAACTTAGGGAGTGGTGGTTGTTGTGTTGGTGACAGCTTATACACCTTAAAACAAATTCACCCCGAGGTGGACATAGGGACGGCCATCATCGTTACACGAGGGGCAACAATTATTATATTACTACAGTGATATCCCCATTAGCTGGAACAATTGGTGCAGAGCACTTCCAGGAATGAGAGATTTCCAGGTAATGAGACGACACTCTCAAAGCCGGAAAAATATTCCTCATCCCCGGAATTTTCCGGGTAATGGAAAAATTTTCTTGGAATTTCCAGAAAGTGCACCGATTTTCATCTCTCAAACCCAGAATTTTCTGGAAAATGTGCCCCCTCGGAAAATCATTTCCAAAAAGCCGAAATTTTATGGAAAATTCCGGCTTTGGGAACAATTTTCCGAAAACATTTAAATTCTGGCTATCAGAGAGTTCTGGGTTTGAAGGATTCCAGCTAACGGAGATATTACTGTACATGCGAACCACTAAGCCCTAACATGTCATTGACTGTACAGTCCCTAACTGTATGATTAACTGTGATGTAATGTTTGTGCTGTCTACTGTCATATGGCTGTTTTATATATTCAATGGTGATATATTTACCTTTTATCACCATCTGATTTGCAAAGTGTACATTAAAACATCCTAATCATTAAAGATCTTGTCAAAAAACTACAAACAATAATGTGGCAACCTTTTCCCATACTATGACCAAGTTTTCAATATACTGTACACATTAATTTCAAAGGCCGTGGCTAAGGAGCACAGACCTTGGTCCACCTCAATTTATTTTTACTTTTGAGTAGGGCCTGTACAATCTACATACAAAATCAAAAGTTTTAGTAGTTTATGAGGAAACTGTTACTACCAGATGGAGTTGCTCGATTTTGTTATTTTTTTCCACAGAAGTTCTTATCATTATAGTAGGTATTTTAAAAGAGGCGACAACTTTTTGTTTTAATTATAAATATTTTCTTATTTTTTTTAGTTCTTCTATCTATGATCATAAATCACCTGCAGTGGGCAGCGCATGAAGAATGAGGGAAGTTACGAGGTAAAACAGTGAAAAACTGATCATTTGACATTAAATTGTGTCTCTACGTGCTTTGTACGTGAAGAAAAATATGTACAGTAAATACTCCTCCGAAAAATTTGCCAAATTACCGCATGTTGTCTGTCTGTTCGCAACTGACCCACTCGGTCCGAGAGTACTCTTGTCCACTAAAAACAAAATTACACCACGATGCTTCAACAAAGTTGCTTTTATTGGTCCGAGATATCAAAATAAGTACTTTCTGTTTAATATGGCAGGGATCCAGGGAGCAGAGTTCCAAGCTAGAAAGTTAGGTTAGGTCCAGTTTTATTAGGTTCTAGTAAATGTTGCCTCTTCTAAAATACTTACTATAATGATAAAAACATTCAGAAAAAATAAACTTAACTGAACAACTCCTTCTAGTGACCCTAAAAAGTGACCATCATAAAGGCTGTGGTACCTAACACTTTAAAACTGATGGACTCAGTAAACCTTGTCTAACTTAATGGTTTTCTTGGGCTTAAATCGACTACTGTTTCTCCTGTAAGCCTCATACTGTACTATGTACATGGTTAAGCAATGTAAACTTATAGTGTATTACGATAAACTAAAGTTTACTGAGTAAAGTATATTGGTAATTTATTCAATGTGTTTCAGTGGTGAGTGCCGTTATTATGAGACATTTCTACCCCTGTGAAATATCCGGGGTAGAAATTTTGAGGTAGACATTTCACTTAACACCGACCGTATCTACCTTAAATAATGATTTGGTTCATACTTACCATCCCAAGTGATTCAAAGTAAGTATCAATATCTTATCAACTTCCTCCATGATGTTAAGTTGTCACAGCCAGGTTATTTAATGATGACAGACTGAAGGACAAGAACACAATGGTCAGGTCCCTCCCCTCACCACCGTCTGTGTCAACAACAACACACGACACCCACCTCCACCAGTTGCCACCTACCGCCACACAACACATTTAAACCAATCAGCTGTTGGTTAATCAACTTTTAAAGGGATAGTGTATGCAATTATTTTAACTACCATGTTATAAGGAATATATATATATATATATATATATATATATATATATATATATATATATATATATATATATATACCTCACTAGTCGGAATAGTGAATGACCTACCCCAACTTCCACCCCTCCCTATAATATGGTGTCAGTGGCGGTAACCCTTGTCATGTGAGGTCATAACTCCTGTCACCTCACCTCACACCTGCAGGATGTGTGGGGAGGCGGAGGCGGGACCTGTGATCACTTACTCCAACTTCCATCCCCCCTCCCTATAATCTGGTGTCAGTGGCGGTAACACTTGTTATGTTAGGTCATAACTTCTGTCACCTCACGTCTACTGCCTCTCAGTTTGGCGGTTCTTTTGAAATGTTGACAACTTGACTAATCCTGATGATAGGGGACGAGTTGGTCTTGGTTCGAGATGCCACTGACGTGATTTAGTTTAACGTGACGTCTTAAGAACGGTTACCGAACCTCCTTGCCGAGGGTAAAAACTGGCAGTAAAGAGGAAAGATAAAGGTGTCTTATATACTGTACAGTGTGATATAAACTATACTAGATGACATAATACTGGAGTTTGTGAGTGTGCGTGCGTGTGTGTATGTGACATGGTGCCACGCACTACCATGACTTGAGGAGTTACTGTGCCAGAAACTACAATGTGACCAGTCGATCCCAGTTCACTGGTACTGTGAAGGCTGTCACTGACAGAAAAAAAATTAATAAAATAATCTAGTCGACGAGGTGGCCCAGGCGCAAGGCAGTGAAAATTAAGAAAGTTACTGAGGTGACTGGGGGAATATGTTTTTCTTTTCTTTTTGAGGCGAGGGAATAATAACAAGCCAACGTAGATGGCAGATAGATAAGTTAACACAAGAAGAAAACGCCAGTTTAATTACATTTACGGAGACGGAGAGCCAGATGCTTCACACCGATTAGTTGAAAAAAAAATTCTCGACAACATCCAGGTCAAAGACCCATTGAAGAATTAAAGAAAAACATCACATCTGAATACAACAAGATTAACATCATGCTCATGATAGTTATGAGAACGTTGTATTGTAATTTCCCTATTGTGCGCGACTTATAAGACATTTTGCACAGTGTAGATTTCCTGCAGGAGACAAAAGATGCGGAAATTAAAGAAACGATCAGACTTGGTGGATGGTGACAAAAAGTGTAAACCACTCTTGGTGAAACTGTTAAAAATATATCGATGAAGCAAATAAGCCTTACTAATCATGATTAGTGTCAATTAGGTCTTCCTAATCACAGAGAAAATAACGCCAGATAAACACCATTACTATCTGCATCCTCCTGAGTCACCAGTGGGAAGATGAGGCTTTTGTTTGACCTCAGCTCTGAGCACGCGTGTCCGGGAGAGGAGGGGCGTATGAAGGGGGCGGGGCGAGGGTCAGGAGGTATGGTAAGAGAGGAGGGGCGTGTGGAGGGGGCGGGACGAAGCAAGGGTCAGGAGGTGTAGGGAGAGAGGAGGGGCGGGGCGCGGATGACAGAGGAGGGGGGAGGAAGAAGGCGTGTTCAAAAGCCACCACTCTGTTACTCGCGTCGGTGATGAGATCTATCATAAGGCAGCTGACGCCACCACCCGCGCGTCGCCACCTGACGCCACCACCTGCACGTCGCCACCTGACGGAGGCGAGCTGACGCCACCACTTGTACGTCGCCACCTGACAGAGGCGAGCTGACGCCACCTGGCAGTGGGGGGCTGACGCCAGCGCCTACACGCCACTACCTGACCTAACTCGAGCTGAGGAGATTCCGTCATCCCTCACCTAGAGTCTAGACTAGAGGCAACACAGAATCTCACGCTAGGAACTACTGAACAATGACTGACGTGATCCGTTGATCGTATAATCCTGATATTCATGACGTCATGACACCCATCGCTAGTGGCAAGGCACACCAGCTATTGTCAGCCCCTAAACACCCCGGGCTAACGGAAACGTAATGTTACTCGTTTCCAGGGAACTCGGCAGAACGGTCTCCGAAACATTATCCCTGAACGGCTCAGGACTTGAACTATTATTATGTTTTTGTGCGAACTTACTGTAAGTAACGATTCTGCTGGTCAATGAATGCTTTTAGTACACAGGAAATAATGTTCACTCAGTGTGAAGGTGACAGCAAGCTGGTGAAGGTGAAAGACATTATTGATGAAAGACCCAGCAGACAGGTCCTCGAGTGCCACCCTCAAGGTCCTGGGTCTGATAGTGTCATGTCTTCTGTCTGTAGCCCAATGGTGACACCAGACTACGGACTGGCTACAGGGACGCGGCCACCACCAGGGGGCCCTGACAGCTTGAGGGACTCTGTCAACGTGTACCTCCTGTCACGTGAGGAGCTGCGTCAGTGCTTAGAGTGTGCCGGGTGCCACCACCAGTACCTGTGGCCCTGGCCGCCCCTCTCCCTCCACCCTCCACCCATCCTGCCACCCACCACAGCCGCTGCCACACACCTGAGGCTTCAGCTCCTCCCACCTGGTCACGATTGGGGCGGCCTGGCAGCCTGGCACCGAGGCTTCACGGTGGACAGTCTTTTGACACCACGAGACGCCTGGCCACTACACCTGCCACCACACCTGTCCTCACATCTTCCAGCACATCTGTCACCACACCTACCAGCACATCTGTCGTCACAACTGCCAACACCCCTGTCGTCACACTTACCAACACAACTGTCTCCACACACCCCGAGTACCGGTAAGATAATCTTAAGCCAAAGGTTTCTTTAGTCTGCCTTTAAGTGAGGACTTTCTCATTAATTTTCCTATATCTTCATTTTATCGTCAACTAAGTCCACTCAATTCTCACTATATCTACCCAAATCTACTTACGTTTGTCTAAATCCATCAAACTCTACCCATCTCTACTCAAACCCACCTAAATTTACTTAAACCTGTCCAAAACAACAACAATTATATGGAAATCTACACAAAACCATTTACACCTCTATATATTTGTTTCATTTATTATTTATACATAGATAAAACACTCTTGGGTTGGGTGTTGTCAGAGCCTCATCACAGGGACCACTGGTAGTTACACGGGAGATGATGCCGTTTACTGTATTTGTGTTCTTTGATGTTACAGTGATGCGCAACACAAGGACTCAAGCTCAACCTACCGTATACATTGTTTATATACCTGCACTGTATGTAAATTGTTTATATACCTGCACTGTATGTAAATTGTTTGTATACGTCCACAATGTGCTGTACCTTGTTTGTATACGTGTACTATCTATGCACACGTCTCCCCCCGCTACCAAAAATTCTTCAGTGACTGTAACTAGTTGTCATAATACCCACTCATTTATTTACCCAGATGTAAACGTGTGTCTCAGGAAACTATCACACACATATTTCCCTTACATCAAGTACCGCATAAAATCGACCAAATAAATACAAGTGATAAGATAAAGAAACACCATATATATACTGTATATATAGGAGGGCGTATTGGAAACTATATATGATAACCTGTTGTGTGCGTCTCAATATTCCTTGGGTTATTACTGTACACAGGTCGTTAAATCAGTGGATCTGGTCGAGGTAGTCATTATTGTTCTTTCTTCTCTCCAAAACCATCTAGATATTGATTCAGGATTTATTTACCGCACGAGGAGTTGAAAATAATATACAGTTTTTTATGTTCGATTGAAAATGTTGTCCCCGAGTGTTTGACCTGCCCACTACTATCGTATAGTGTGTGTATTAACATATCTGGGAAGGTAAAATTAAGCCAGATCTGTCCCATTCACTGATCAGCCACTCACTATACACTCCAAACGTTTCTCATTATCTGTCGGGTAATTCTGATAAACCTGTTGTCTTTTTTTTAAACATATATATACATACATATTAATTACTACATTCATCACTTTACATAATGTTATTTATTCAGTTTCAAGATACATTTAATACATCTACAAAAATAACAAACATGTTCTCTTGTTTCGTAAGACACTTGGTTCACATCTCGCAAGATAAACGACCAAGGAGGAAGCTTTAATAAAAAAATAATCTTGAGTAGCGTGGTAGATGAACACTCCTAACTGATAACAAGTTACTATGACGACCCGCTACGGCCAGTGTGGATATAGCACACTGAAGGAGGCATCATGACCAGCACTGTAATTGATTGTCTTTACTTCCCCAACACTAACATTAGGTATTCATTAAGAGTTAAGTGACCTGGGAGTGCCCCGGAATCGAACAAGTAAACCTAAGGACAGTTGTCTCTAAACGGCCGCCGAACACCTTACCTTACCTAACCCCCTTAACCTGGTGCAGCTCAACTAACTACTGTAACTCAAGAGGGAAACAGGGAACTTAAGATGTCCATTTGTCCGTATATTAACATAGCGGTAGGATTCTTTACTCTATAAGGAAATTATCTCAGGAGTTTGCCTCGGGCAGAATTTTCTCCACGGAAAAACAAAGATGTAAATAATTTAACAGTCGACAAAATTCGCATAGCAGCGTTACATGTGAGACAGTGTTGGTTGTAGCCCACTTGGTTGTTCTCGACCAGAAAAGGTTTAGACGTCATAAAAACATGGTGGACATGGCGTAATGTGTGGGGTACTCTCGCCAGGGATGAAGACAATCAGGGGACAGCTGGGCCTCCGTCGAGGGCACTAATCCCTAAAAACCCGAGCGTGGGAGCTCATGGCCCTCACGAGTGCCACTATTGTCTCCTGCACCAGTCCAGACTCGAGTGCCACCAGCGAGAGGGTGATACTGCCACACTACTCCTCCTCCACTTCCGCCCTTCCTCATGCACACCCCGAGGCCTGTTGGAGTAGGGAGGGAGGAGGGAGGGGCAAGGGAGGTAGGAGGTGGGGGGGGGGAAGGCAGGGAACAGGGAAGTCGTGCAAGGGAAGGGGGGGGGCAGGGGAGGTAGGAGAAGAGGAAAGAGCAGTAGTGCAAGGGAAGGAGTACAAGGGGAGGGAGGGCAAGGGAGGTAAGAGAAGGAGAAAGGGCAGGAGAACGGGGGAGGGAAGTGCAAGGACAGATGGAGAGAGGAGGGAAGAATGGGTAAGTAAGTGAGATGGCACTAAATACCTCAACACACTAACTGAAACTGTTGATTTAGTCATCCCTAACACCACAAGAAAACGGCTTTACCTAAATTAATATACCTCAATAGTTTTTCTTCCCTGTCCGTCCGTCCGTGACACTGATAGGCTCACCATGTAATATGAACGTGTAGTTTTCCTTGAGCGACTCCCTGAACTTGGTAGATACATATTGAATACACGGTAGATGCTTACAATGTGGAGGGTGTTCTTTGGATCACCTGAAGATTAGACACCCCGGTTTATTTCACCTGAAGATTAACCACCCTAACGCTTACCTCACATAACCTAACACCCTCCCCCTCCCCTCAGGTAGCGTTGTGATGGTGGTTAATCCTCAGGCGAGATGAGCTTAGGGGGCTAATCTTCAGGTGACCCCTTATTTCCTCTTGGTGGTTTGTGATACTTCCTAATGCAATAAATGAATGTACTTTCTCTCTCTATAACTTACCTTGCTTCGGGCAGGTGAGGAGGGCGGTTCAGGAGGGGGAGAGGACCCCCCAGGGAGGAGAGGAGCCCCCCCTAACAAGAGGAAGCGACGCCACCGCACCATCTTCACCGAGGACCAACTCCGCCAGCTGGAGGTCACCTTCCAGCACACCCACTACCCTGATGTCCTCCTCAGGGAACAGCTCGCCCTCAAGGTCGACCTGATGGAGGAGAGAGTCGAGGTGAGAGCGACTGGGTACATTGTAATAGTCGTTTCTCTATGAGGGGTCTATTCCACTCTCACTCTCTTTAATGAGTACAACATAAGGTATTAACTTTTCATACAACTCTTAAAAAAATCCAACTCTCTCTACATTTTTAAAAGGAATTCACCTCTCTATACAATTTTAAAAGGAATCCAACTCTTTCTAAACCCCTTACAGGGATTCTGACACTCTATACACCTTAAAAACAAGTGAATACGTATCTGTCTTTTCACTGCGTCCATAATCAGTCATCTATCTCACCCCTGTTCATCGGTCTTCCTCATTACCTCACCCTATCACTTCCTTCCTTCTCTCAACCATTAATCTCCTCCCCATCTCTCACGTACGTCACCCTCATCTCTCTCCCACATCACCCTCCCTCCCACAACATCACCTTCCCCTCCCATTCCACAACGCCATCCTTCCTCCCACACCACTACCCTCCCCTCCTACACCACCACCCTCCCTCCCCAACACCCTCCCTCCCACAACACCTCCTCCCACAACGCCACCCTCCCCACACCCCCCCTCCCACAACATCACCCATCCATCTCACCCCACCCCACCACCCTCCCTCCCTCCCACCTATTTCAACATTCATAAGTCTTCAGATTTCCCGCACAAGTTTAATGTATCCATCAGATTATAGATAATTAACCTTAGGAGCGTTTTTACTCCCACAAGCCGAGTTCTTGTGTTTTCAGAGTCAACAATATTAGCTTTGCCAGACGAAGCTCTGAGACGAGTAATCTTGATTGAAGCGAAATTATCCAAACACAATAGACGGTGTTCCCGGGTTGGCTGTGCTGCCGGGCGGGCGGGGCTGCCGGACGTAAAAGTAAAGGCTGTAAGTGGCTGGTGTGTCTGTGTGTGTGTGACCACTTTATCAGCTATGGTCACGCTTATCTATCAGCTGTACCGGTGTGGTCTATCATCCCTATTGTCAACCGTATCTATCAGGTCTATCACTTTATCTATCAGCTACAGTCTATCACCTTATCTGTCAGCCGGGGACTGTCAGCAGAGAGAGGCGGTGTTTGGAATGAAAACAAAGCGACTGTTTGAGTGGGAGAAAAATACTAAGAGAAGAGAATTATCATTATTCTAACGTATTCATTAACCGGGGGTCTACTTAGTGGCTGGGGTGGGGCGACGCTTTTATTGGGTACCGCCATCATTAATCCCTCTCCATCCCACTCACTTTGGAGAGGGATGTGAGGAGGGAGGGGGGGGGGTACTTTATCACTCCCCTCTCTATAGTCACTTCTCGCTCGGGGAGGAGGGAGATGAGAGGGATGTGATTGGGCACTTTAATACCTCCCCCCCCCCCTCTCATCTATCTCCCTCATTCACTCAGGGGGGAAGATGTGGGGAGATACGAGAGCAAGAGCAGTTGTTTCCTCCCTTCTCTAGACTATCTCCCTCATATAACACAGTACTTCACCCACTAACCCTCCCCCTTCCCTCACGGTCTTTCGGGAGGGGAGGGGGAGGAAGGATATCTCAGCTTTTCCTTCCTTCTCTCACTTCCTCTCTACCACACGGGAGGGAAGATGAGTCTCATACACACCCCCTCCCCTCCATCACAGTTTCCCTCTCCCCTACCCCTCACCTCCCACACCTTGGCATAACCTCCACCCCTCACCGTGGCCTCTAAGCCCTTTTCAATCCCTCTCATCTACCGACGCATCCCTCTCTTTTATTACCTACCTGGCGTACACCTGTGTGTCAACCTGTGTCCCATCTCCTCAACAAATATTAGCTTCCCCAGTGATGGCTTTCGTACTTAATTCATGTATGCAAATTCCTCCGTCAGAGCGGAACACCAGAGACGCTCAGCCCGACATTTGCATGCCAAGTCCGTCTTCTTAAGAATCTTCGCTCTTGATTTTACATGGAAAAAAACACTTGCCTCCACCTGGCGTAGGAGACACGGCCCAGCTCTGAGGGTGGGGAGGTGAAGGGAGGGAGGGAAGGGAAGATCGGAAGAGGGAGGGGGAGAGGGGAAGAGAGGGAGGGGAGGGGAGGGAGGGAAGGGAAGATCGGAAGAGGGAGGGGAGGGGAAGAAAGCAAAGGGGGAGTGATGAAAATGGTAAAAAAAAGGGGGGAGAAGGGAGGAGAGGAGGGAAAGAGAAATAAATAAGAAACAAAGTGGAGGGGTATTTAGATGTGATGATAAACTAAAGATGAAGTGAAAAAGAAAACATTTAAGTAAAAGAAAAGAAAGAAGGGAGAAGGAAAGAGATGGAAATATAAGACAAAGGAAGAGAAAGAATAAAAAATAATAATCTGGGAAGAGAAAGACAAGAAATAACAAAGATAATAATTTAAACCAAACACTTGACCGGTATGATACATTATACAGAAAACCTGTAACTGTAAGAGACATAACAGAAACTACTGATTATATATTCATCAAACACCTTTAAATCCTTCTTGTGATAACTGTATATACTGAATTTGTACTAGTTTTTACCTTCACGATGTCAGACGTATACACACAAATACCGGCTCTTGACACTTGTATGATTATCTCCGGGGGACAGATGATAAAGGGAGGAAAACCCGAAGCAGGTACAGTATGTGAAGGGTGGGAAGCAGCATTAAATTAGGATATTCCATGGGTAGAGAAAAAGGTGTGTGTATGTGTGTGTGTGTGTGTGTGTGTGTGTGTGTGTGTGTCACGAGGCGCCCTTTGCCCTGCCGGAGGAGCAACAGGTGAGGCTGGGGGACCAATCTGTGTCCAGGTATAACACATGAGTCTCCAGGAACCAAAGTTTGTAAATATTTTAATAATCTGGACACCGACTACTAACGCTCTTTTCTTCATACTTCTCAGATTCATGGAACATTTCCCAATACCCAGAATCTTGTCTTGTATAGTATGCATATACAGTATAGCATATGTGTTACCTTGGTGATAGTGTCCATTGTGATCTTGTAAACACTAGTGTCATACAATTACTCTTCGTAAATTACTAGTATATGATAGAAGTGTTTCCCTGCCTTCTTACACTGTTAAATCATATTATTCTTAAAAAGATGTACAATTACTAGAAGTGAAATTAAATGCAGGCAGCCATTACAGCATAGGCTTGCCATAAGCTGGGTGTGTCATATCACACTATAATTGTTAAAATCTTCCTATAGGTGTGGTTTAAGAATCGTCGAGCCAAGTGGAGGAAACAAAAGAGGGAAACACAAGAAAAATCCCTCGACGAGATCAGTATTCTTCAGAGCAACTCACAAGGTGGTGTGCTCGCTCCCAGCATTTTGGAGGTTGACCAACCAATCAACCTAAAGCCTTCTGAGACTGACCCACAGATTACTCTAAGGTCCCCTGAAGTTGACACACATATAAGAAAGCCGAAATCCAAGACTAGCAAGTTAACTCGCCAGCACTGTGAAGTCAATCATCCGAGTCATCAGATCACAATAAATACCATTTCACTGGGACTGACAACAAAGGAGACCCAACAAGACACAAGACACAAGAAAGACAGAACCAACGCTGGGATCAAGCAAGTGCTGAACGTCAGGCGGGGAAGTAAACAAGATGGACGGGAACGGATCTTGAAAACTGAAACAAAATCTAAAACCGTGAATGGAAAGCAGCAACAAATGTCACAAACTAAGGGCAATCAGAGAACGACACACACTAAAGAAGATGTATTGAAAAAGGGTATAAGGAATTTGGTGGAAGACGCTGTGACTCACAAGAAACAACCGTCACCCTGGAGGTTGAGAGTAAGTGATCCTCGAGTCAGGCAGGAAAAAACATTGGGTAACAAAGCCAAGAGTGTCTACATGCACGACAACCTTAACCAAGTTAGCTTGAGTTAGAGTTCTTTAAACAGTAGTTTGAGGTCTGGCTGTGTAACATAAACTGGGGTGGCCAGAGGAAGTGAAACACCAGCACTAACTCACACAACTGCAGACAGGACAAATGACCCAGCTGCTGAAGGGCAGTCAGTTCAGTTGACTCGGGCATTGAGCGATAATACTGAATAGCAGTAAAGTCAGTTAACTGGGTGCTGAATTACTATTAGTTGGCTCAGCCTATGAAGGGTAACTTAGTGCTGGGGGTTTAGTTGACCTACAATAACATAATAATGAAGTTGCTGTATGTTGTTGATGGCTGTAGTTTTTATAATGTAGTTTCAGTGAATAAGAATTTCTCTTGGTAAGACAAAAGAGCTCTAGTTATTACACACAGGTCTACAATACTATTTAGTGTTTAAAGAGCACTATAGTACAGTAGTCCAACTTTAGTCAGTGTTTATCAACTTATAAAATGTTTAGAAATAATTAGTTTTGAACATTTAAAAAAAATGAGTTAAGTGATACTGTACAGGATATTATCTAGTCAGTGTGAGCTTGTGTATTGTTCAGACTTTAGAATGTTAGCTAAAGTGCATTGACCTTCATAGTGTTAGACTAGTCATCCCATATTACACTGATGTTCATGAACGCCACTAGAGGAGGGAGGTGGGTTAGTGTCTAGTGTTGTTTTTATAACTTTACGGAGTGGAAAAGGACATAAGGCGTTGTTGATAGCTCACCTTGACGCTGGGCAATTCCAGGAACTAGTGAAGTGTGTGTGATTTTAGTGAATTATTATAGAATTATATTGTGTGCACAACCTCACACCTTAACAATAATTTCAGTACATTTAAGCTATTTTTCCTTGTACATTAACCTAAATCGACAAAGTTTAGTATGTATACCATATATAACATTGGTTCATGAGCGGGTACAGAAACCTAAGTAGGGAAACCAACAAGTCGAAATGTTTTTAAATACTGTAATGAGTCACGGAAATTCTCACATCAATTAACAACATGGGAATCCCAGCAAATGGGATAAATGTTATGACCCACAAAAACCACTTGAATGTCCGTAAGTCTATCTTTATATTTTGAACACCTGCAAATGGATGAGAGTGAGTGTGTACCTAGATACACTCAACAACTGAAGACAGCACAATGCTCCCTACAGCTACTGATACCTCTTATTATTTGCCCCACTTAGAGAACTGACTCGGTAATATTAACTGTTTTCCCCGCTGTGTTGTAGAGTCTTCACATAACATGGGTCCTTGAGCTACATCATGAATTTAATAAAAAGTTACACATAGAATTAATGTTTCCATATCCTCTTAATCTGTCATTAAATATCATCAGGTAAGGTTTTGTTAGGTTATGTTAGATTACCCAAAGTTAAACTGCATAAAACAGATGATCATCCAAGTGGGATGTACTGTAATCCGAAAAATGTGACCAATTGGTCTTAAGAGGGAACCCCTCCCCACGAATGCTGCATAAATTTCATCCATGTGTAACCCTATTATGTTCAGCAACATTTATATGGCAATGCAAGAGTTGTGTGTGCTCCCAGTCACCACATCCCTGAGGAGACTGAAAACTTACACCTGTAGTACCATGGAACAGTCAGTCTATTCTTTGTTATGACCTTCATTGTCCAGTGTTAGTACTGGATAATGCCTTCACATCCGACCCAAGGACTGGACTCACAACACACCCTTGACAGATACAGTACCTGGTATTCTTTCAGTACATCACTAAATAAATTTTTCACTTAAATCACATCTTGCCTTCATCACAAAATGGAGAAATACCAACCTTGCAGTTTTTTTTCTAATCTTGAAGCTTCAGCAGTAACCAATCCTTACAAATACAGGAATACCGTTAAAAAAAATCAACTGCATCTTCCAACCTTTTCCATTATCAGCATCTCTGAAATAATCACATAGCTTACAGTGTTTCTTGGAATCAACACCTGAAAATGAATATGAACAAATTTGGTTTTCTTTCGTGTATAGTACAGGGTATTTGTTTTTCCTTTTTTTCTCCACAACTGTGCACCCTTGAAAAAAAGCCAAGTTCACATACAAGTAGAGCTCTTACCTGGAGTGCTCCTTTCATATTTGGAGAGGTGTGTCTCAGTTCTCCTTGGCTTTCCATAAAAATCCACTCTGACTTTTTCATGACATATTGTTGCAGCTTCCCTCTCCTATATCTCTCTCGTTCAGGAATGTCTCTTTCTCCATTCAAACAGCACCTGTTTTACTGTAAATACCTTGATTAAAATTACTGTAAGTCCATTATCATAATATGGATAAACTCATTCTACAGGTACTTGCCGCTTGTCATTCATACACTATATGCTACAGTATAGACAAAACACTGGAAGCTCTCCAAGAAAAGGAATCATAAAATCAATGGCCAAGTCTTCAAGAGCTGTTTTATTTATGATAGAAAAAGATTACATTAGATACTGCCATAAAATATGCTGTTGTTAAACTGTAAAATACTGTGATCGATAAAATAACTGGCATAAATAATCAGGGGAAATTTTTTATCGCTGGCCTAGGCAACAAATTACAGAGTTGAGACCACGTTTATATTATTTTCCGAGATGATTTTTTGTTTTTTGTTTGGTAGTTAAATTAATTAGAGTGTTAAGTTCTGATAATTTTCACAACTTACAAAAGAGCAATTCAATCCAAATCCTTAAAACAGTTTTTTGGGGGGATGTTCTGAAACTCACCTTCAAACCAGATGTTAAATATTCCGTTTATGAAAAAGAACCAGTTACTATTATTATACAGGACTCTTCTACTGTATATTATAAAATTCAGAAGACTTCAGTTCTACAAATACAGTACAGGAAAAATAAATAGAGTAAACTACAACCCATACAACAAATACAATAACCAATAAAGTAATACTACAATACAGTACTCCTTCCTCTACGCCTACACCAGCATCTAACTCACACTGTACGTACTGTAAAAAGCAAAATATTTAAAATGTTACCGATGACATACAACTTATATTCATCTTTCAATTGTTTTATATTGGCATAGAAATAAAAATAAGACATAAATGACATTCTTAATTTTGGTTGCCTGAAGAGTATGATACAGTAAGTAGAGGTTAAGTCTTTCTGCTAGCAATGTTGTATGATGATGTGAACAACAGTACAGGTATTAACACATTATGTAACTGCAGCCTCTGAGTAATCTATCAAAAACTTTTACCAATATCCGATCACAGCCAAATATAACTCTGTAATTAATTACCATGTACTGCCTAGCTCACACTGACTTTTTGCTTATATTCTCCAGTTAGTAAATCACCCAGGACCCAGATAATAATGAAGGTTAACATAATTCACAACATAAGATTCTGGTGTTTCTCTCATGTGTACCTCATAGCTCCAGCATCAACATGTCACACACCACGTCTAATGTCACTACCGGTAAGACCGTTCATCTTGGCTATTTACATTTCGAGATATTGAAGGCTAGGTTTATAAAGCTACATATTATTATCCAGGTCCTGATAAAATCAACTGGCCAGATCTTGGAAAAACCTGGTTATGTTTCATTATGTATTCTTTACCTATAGCTATTGAGTGTTTGTAAAGTGTTTTATATACACAGTCGGGAAGGACACTTTTGGCCAGTCTTTTGGTATATCCAATATAACATACAACGTACCAGTAATACATACATGGAAGCATAACATGGGGAGGAATAGAACAAACAATAACACCTTGGAACATGGGAAAATGAGGAAGATATTACTAAGGTAGCCAGTACTTAGACAAGCTGTGATCATGACAGAGGGCCAATATGTTGGTTATCCAGGGCATAGGTAACTAGAATTAAATTTATCCTTTTCTGGATATTGTTTTTGTTTTTAATTATAATGCTTCTAAATTTAAAATGGGGATACCTGTATGCTGGATAAAAAAAACTGATTAAATACCAGTAAGTCTAGACATACAGTACTTATTAATAATGTTATCCTTGTAATGAAGAGGGTGTTCCAATATATATATATATATATATATATATATATATATATATATATATATATATATATATATATATATATATATATATATATATATATATATATATATATATATATATATATATATATATATACACACAGTATATTTAAACTATCAACAAATTTATCTAAATCTTAATCAACTTTAATTATTCTACTGTTCTTTAGATTTATAGCTTTAACAGATCCATCTAATATGTCAATGAAGAACTGATATAGACCTACAATATATAAATAATTGGGCTAATATAGTATACAGTACAGTATAAGCATAATGGGACCTATTGGAATGTAGGAATGGGAAATGGGCATATAAAGGAGGAATCTAAATTATAGGATATAATGTACACTTATATCTAGAAAATTGATACTGATGTTGTGGACAGTGCCATCCCAAGGTGAAAATAATATCCAGGAATACATATATAATTAAGCCATGGTATATTTGCTTTTTTTTAGTTCCCATGATAAATTGATTAATTATCGGTATATACCAGCACAAATTTTTGTTCTCTTAAATTCTTTCATCCTTATTCATGCATGAAGTTGGTAAAAGTGAATTGAATGATCAAAGTACAGTATTGCACAGTTTGTAATAGTACTGTATCATCAGGTCTGAGCAATGACCACACAAAGTAGATAACTAACCTGAAAATAACAAATTGTAAATAACTTATCTTCAAAAACAACTCCTTTTCTTAATGTAAAATATGAAGGGAAAAAATCGGTCTTTATTTTTATGCAGTGTGTTGTCAAGGAATGAGAGATAAGGGAGAGAGACAAGTACTAACATCAGAGCCAGGAGGTTACAAGTGAAAACTACAATAACAACAGATGTTCTGACAGGAATGCTGTAATGATTAATTCATGAAACAAATTTAACAACAAAGAACATCAGGACAAACAGAATTGTTGGGAAATACCCTCGAGCAGCAGCTGAGAGACACCAAGAGGTGACTTTGGTAAGTAAGGATGTAGGAGGGTTAAAAGGTATATATGTATAGGTAAAACTTAAATCACATTACAGCATTATAGGGTATGTACTAGTGTATATAAACCTCTGGCTCTGATATGTCTTTGATCTCTATTACTTTCCACTGAAGATTTGTGACCATCCTCTCTTTCAATTACGTCTGTTATTAAAAAGTTAAATAAATCACAGAATTTTTTTTACAAGACCTCACCTCTGGATGAAATATTCTGTGTTTCTATGACAACACTGATAACTACTACAAACAAAACAGTGTAGGTTAATAGTGGATAGCTCAAGTAGCAGTTATGTAAATATCAGTATAATAGACTTGATGACAAAGTACTGTACAAACCATCGGTAAATTGATAACATTTGTACAATTTAGAAAGCTTTGAAACTAATTATTGTGACAGGATTTTTTTTACAACCCTTTTCATTCTACTTATGGATGCACGGTAAGGTTTAAATAAGACTTACATTAGAAGCTACTGTAAAAATTTGATATGTTACTTAAGATGACACTGTACAAACTTTTGATAGCTTATGTTAACTGAGAAGAATACTATAGGAACCCTAAGTACATCACTCAAAAGGATACTGTAATGCCCTCAATACAGTACTGTACTTACTCTGACAGTGTCCAAGCCTTCAGTATATTTCTTAAGGTACTGTACAAACTTTAACACATTACTCATAATGAAACTACAGTATACAAAATCTAATAGGTTGCTGAATAAGATTCTGTATGAACCTTGTGTGTCAATCAAAAGAATAAGACAATAAAAGGGCAAGATATCTATCATAACATACTATACTATCTCTACTGTTAAGGGGGAAATACCTGGGTCAAGTTATAAAAGGTACTGAAGGACGCTGAGGTACGCTGTATTAGAGGTGCCACTGCCAGTGCGGCTTGGACATTCCACAACTGAATAAAATGAAAAGGAAGCATCTTAAAATTGTGTTTCTATGAGCTAAAATTATTTAAGGCTTTTGTCTAATGTGATTACCAGCACTGGACTTCATTCATACTGTGATAAGTTGCATTACTTTTGTGTTTAATACTGTATAATAACATTTTGGTTACATTTCCGCTCAGCTTTTATTTAACAATAAATATCATGAAATTTATTAAAAAAATCAACATTTTCAAAATTACCCTCAAGTAAACCATAAAAGATGATGGCCAAGAAAAGCTTCATATAAGGTGCATCTTGGAATGTTTTACATTATTATAGAAAGTTATAACAGAACCCATTACATAAAACAATGTATAACAGTTGTTCCAAGCACACAACAAAGTAGATCTGTGCTGAGGTCACACAAATTAATGACTGATTTTTTTTTTAAATACCTTACTGTACTTGACATTGTTTACAGGAAATGTTGCTGACCTTGAGTGGCATCAGTCTTGATGACTTCCTTTGTCTGTAGTAAAAATACTGTACACACAGCCTTGTGGGACTCACCACACCTGAATTATTGTTTCTCAATAACTAATCTGAATTAGAATTTGTATCTACAACATTTTCACATAAACACAAGAGGTATATAAGGCGGCAGTACGAGATTTAATGGTTTCAGCCGAGTTATCCACAGTAACCTGCATCAAATTTCATCTTATGGATCTCCTAATTACGGTATTGAATGATAAATACACTATTTCCTGAAATGAAAGCACTTGATGGAAAATCACTAGCTATATCCTTTCTTCACATAAACGCATTGCCTTCATATGCCTCAGATACTGAAGCAAAAATAACAAAATAATATGTTTTATAAGCCATTAATAATAATGTAACATAAAAATAACTTTTTGTAAATGTTCCCCAGGTATACAGCAGATAACTATATTTTTGGCACACCACAGGGATTATAAACCATACATAAATGATAAGTGACCTCTCAAACAATAAGTATTCTAATTAACATATTTACTCTTTGATAACTCTGCTCTGTAGTTAATCAAAGATGAAAACATACTGTACGTGTGTACACATTGAGGTTGCCAATTCAAATTTGTCTTGGTACTGTATAGGTATCAATGGCAAATGAACCCATAAAATGGACTTCATAAAAAGGTAATAAATACAGACAATGATGGAACTCTCACTGTAGAATACAAACACCTAATCAAAATGTAAAATATTAAAATCTTGAATTCATAGATACAGTAGCATGACTGAGCTGCCCAAGTAAAGTGTTATCACTGCTTATAAAACTCTAAAAACTATACTGTACAGTAAATAATATTTTAATACAATTTTGCTTTCACTGCACACTTACCGAGTAAATTTCTCTCATCTCTAACCAGCTCATAATAATGAATATCCTCTCACAGAAAGCACTGGATTAGATTAAAGGACAAACGCATAACTTTCAACTTATGTGACAACAAAATACAGTCTATATCTTTCTACTGTATTGAAAAAAATATAAAACAAAGTGATCTCATATCTACTGTTAATTTACTTTATCTTCTTCACCATTAATTGACCTTTTAGTTGTTTGGGCAGTCAATCACATCTCTGTTACACACTGTTGGCAAGTACACTACTGTGCTGGCTCGGAGATCCAGAAAGTATCTGAACTTGTGCTAATTTTGGTCGTCAGGTTTTGAATAAGTCAACAATCAGTGCTGTCACAAGCGGCAAACAAGCCAATCAGCGGTGAAGAGGATTAAGGTAAAAAAGGTAAAAGTACAACATTCTCTGAACATTAACTATAACTATTGCATATTATATTTTGATTTTGTCTTTTACAGAACAGGAAGAAGTGTGGTCCTTGTAAATAAAGGGTTGGACCTAATATCAATTTTATGATCAAAGTTCACTATAAGAAACTGACTCATTGTAGCACACAAACTCCATGGGCTGAGATAGAGAATCCAGGAAAACTTTTAGAAATTAATGGCGGGGCAGTGAGGTCAAAACATCAACTTTTCTAATCAAGGAAAAAGTAATTTTTTCTCTGTTGTATGTATATTACCACTTCACAAAGCAGTTAAGATTTTATGCACTTGTTCAAGATTATCTTGCAGGTGGGGGGAGGCAAGCCCTACTCTGGAAGAATTGGCAACCCCAGTACATATGCATGCAAACATGTATATGTACATAAATGTGTACACAGACATGCACATGAAGATTACTGATATAAACACACACAATAAACACATAATTATCCAGTCATTGAGATGACACTGCTAGCTGAGAAGGAGTTAGTTAGTCTATAGTCCAGGATAAAGAGTGCCTGACATGGTACATCCCATGGAGTGGGATTTTGGTCACCTCTCTCTCTCTCTCTCTCTCTCTCTTGTTCTAAAAATCTGTTGTGATTCTAATTAGAAGAAATGCAACTAGTATTGTAATGCCTTCCTATACTGTTACTCTCCTATCTGCTGAGCTCAGAATATCAAACCACTTTTCAATCTACACAGTGTGTCACCTCAATTCTGTACTGAATATAATTCATCAGAATAAAACAAAAATCCTTTTCTAAGACAATACTAAACCTGAAAATAATGTATTGTGTAATATCAAGTACTGTACTAATATAAATGTTGATATGATCATACACAACCTCAGTGCAGCATGGTTTGGTATATTAATTCCTCAATAATAATTACAGAAAATGTTGACTTAAGGTCTAAGCAGAGACTAGACTATATTATTTTCATCTTGTTGCGTGATATGTATTTAATAACAGCATTTTGATATGATAAGGCAACTTATTTGTTCTTTGATGATGCAACATATAAATCTGCAATAATATCATTATACATTAAATAACAAGAATAACAGTGATAACAATATCTATAAGGATAAATCACAGATATGTTTAAGTAGCAAGTGCACTTAATTTATATCTGTATATAAAAAAGTCATGTCAGTCATCCCGTAAAGATACGAAACTTTCACGAACTGCCTTCATTTGTTTTGTCAGATTAATATCAAGATAATCATAAGTTACGAAAAGGAGAATTGAATCCTGAAATCCCTATTTCTGGTGGTAGAGCCAAGATGAGCAGCCCTTGTGATACCCTGCACTCCGAACACTTTATAACTAACACTGCTGCCTATGAGATATGGCCCGACTTTCCAGCAGCAGGGAGCATTACTTGTGCACATGATGCAATTACTGAAAAACAGTTCTCACTATACTTGGGGTCTTATAAGATATCCAGACGTGGAACAAATCTTGAAACAGCCTAATCATAGTGGTGGTGTGATGATCAGAACTTCATCCCCATCTAAACACACACATTCTCTACAATGACATACCAGTAAGTGTCATCCTTAATAGTGAAGTGAGCACATAGTAATCACATAACACTGAATATGCATATGCTTGCATGACTGTGAGAAAGTGTAATTTTCCAGAGTCAAGACACATTGGAAAATTCCATAAGTCCAGACAGGTAAACATTTTTTGTGAACATGTGTGTGGGATCATTATTACATCATTTTTATCTCGGCCTTCATAAAAAACATATAAGGCCTTCCATGAAGACTTGTGACATATTTAAACTATCCTGAATAAGAGGTGTTGTTTTTAAACCTTCATCTTGGTTAATGTATAACCTGAACTCATCCTCCTGAATGATCTTCTGTCTGTACGTGATCACTTTGAATACAGTACTGTACTCTTTATTGACATAAATTTCCCAGAAAAATTTAAGAACCTGCCAGGTTGGGTTGTCAACTTTTAACTTTATCCTCTTTGCCACTGATCGGCTCATTGGCTGCTTGGATCACAACTCTGTTATGCATTGTTGGCAAGTACTGGCTCCAGAATATATCTGTACCTGCACTAGAGTTGGTCAAGTCTCGTCTTGAATGAGCTCACACTCAGTGCCATAACAATGCTCTCTGGCAGATTGTTTTAAGAGTTCACAACCTCAACTCCAGAAAAGTTGCCCTGACAGTTTTTTGAACTTGTAGCTTCTTCAACCTTAAGCTGTGATCTCTAGTGGGGTGTGTAGATAATGTTCTGGAAGAATCAAAGTGGTGTAAAACTAAATTAATGAGAAGCTATGGTGTCACTGTTGGAAGCATATATAGATCATCAAATCATAGTTTTGCAAACCACAGGAAAATGAGATCCTTAACAGACATAATTATCCTGAAATCTACCACGTTCTGGCAGTGGGTGATTTTAACTGTAGTAGTGACTAAAGAAATAACAATTTCTGTAATGACCCAGCAACTCTTTTTGTAACGAGTGTGGGAGACAATTTTTTAGTCCATCGCATTTAATACCCAACCATTAGAGGTGAGTAAACATGCAAACCAATGGATTTTGTCACAACCAATGAAGATGGAATGGTGGCCAACATGGAATATTTAGCCCCCACTAGCAGTGATGTCAACCCACTAAATTAATCGTCTGTTTCATGCGACTATTACCATCTTAGTTAAATGATCAGGTTATGTTAGATTATGTTACATTATTATGTTAAATTGCATAAAACAGACGATTGTCCAAGTGGGATGTAATCCTAGCACTAGACATTTCTTAATACTGTATTGTCCTTCAGATTTAATTGTTACTTGTTACTGTCCATGACAATAATAGACTGAGGTTCACATATTGAGGGTGATTATAACAAGATGAGAGAGGAAACAATGAACATATTGGCTCAGCTTGCTGAACAACAGGAATGGAAACTCCCTGCTCAAAAATCATAGAGAATAGAGCAAAACAGCTGATGGACCAATACAATACAATACAGTACTGTACAGTATAATGTGCACCTAAGCTTGTGAGTGTGTTGACAAGCTGGCAGGCTATGATTCTGGGTGAGTATATAATCATGTTATTAATTTGGCTGTAGGGTAAAAAATGTGGTGTGAGACCTGAAAGCTTTCCGTTGTGGTTCTGGTACAGTAATATGTTAAGAGTTCTTAACTTTTGACTGAGATGCTTCAATGGCTGTTAAAGGCAATACTTCATCACTGAATATCTTATAAGACTTAGGATAAAACCAAGTGAGGAGTTGTTTTACAGCAATTATATTAGTTGAATGAATAGTGCTTCCTGTGCTGAACTACAGTATTGTATCCAATGACACAGGTAGCACTGTCAGAGTGTACCACTACAGGTAGTCACTCACTCATAGACTATAGGCCACAAAATTGACTTATGTTCATATTTTTAGAAATAAGGATCCATTTATGATACTGTAACATAAAAATGAGGAACTTTCCATTAAGAGATCTAAATTCTAAAGTCAATGTACACAACTAGTGTATAAGAATGTATCTGTGCCAATGTACCGTACATTTACTTTACCAATAATTCAGCTTTGTAGCCTATTAAATGTCAATGCTTAATGAGCCTTTTACAAAATTTGCAGTAAGATTTGTTTTGATGGATTTTGATGAAAAATATGAACGAAGAAAACAAAATTATTCATCTTTCGTCAAATGAAAGAGGATAATGGAGACCAGCTAAGGCATTCCATTTCGTTTGTAAATCTTTTGGGGCATACATTATATTGCATAGACAAGCGTGCATGGCAAGTTTTCATGATAAACATTCTATTTTTCAAAATTCAAACGACCTTACACACTATTTTGGAAATATATTTACAGAAGATTTCAGAAGCTGAAAAATTAATATAGTCACATGAGGAACACCAGTAGTACCTGCATTTAACAAGCCAAGGCTCTGCAGGATTATGAACTCAAATGGTTGTATCTTGCATGTCTGTAAATACATGGTCTCCTTTGGCCTGTCTGGACATATTAGTATCTAAGCTATCTAGCATATGTTGTGTTTTCCTGTACAGGGGCTGATACTGCTACCAAGATGCAGCGAGTGTCATGTGGAACTGGTAAATATGACCATTTTGATACACCATGTAAATCTTGCAGTTAATGGCTGATGTGATGTGTTATGAGAATTAAAGAAGGAAAGAGCGAGAAAGAGAATGTTTACCATAAACTCTTGCCTCCCGAGACCATCAGGAGAGGCTCTAGCTTGGCACATTTCAGGCACATAATAACAATGTTTTCAACTAACAACAATAGAAACAGTTATTAGGAATTATCACATCAACAACCATCACAAAGACCTTATGTCCTTTTTTCATCCTGGACAATTCTCTTCTGGCTGTCAGCGCTTCCTTCTGAATAAAGAGATTAGAATAAAATTTTAGGTTTTTAAAGCTCATTTTTGCAACATGTAGAATATTTTGTGAGGTTATTAATTATTTGATTGTAAAAATTTAATGAATCAACACTATCAAACTAATCTTCCAACTAGTTCACCACATCACTACTGTTCCACTATCCCTCTAATATCAAAGGAATACTTGTGTCCATACCTAACCATCTTATCAGTAACGCATGGGACTGAGGGCATAGTATTTCGTGCGCCTACGCTCACCATCTGTTATCTCAAAGGGAAGTTTTACATCTAGATTGCACTTATCCACTACTGGTTCTATTTGATCATCACTTTGATTTTTTTCTGGTTCTCTTCCACCATTTTCTCTCCTCCGTCTTAGAGTGGTAGGCTCTGGGTGAGACTGGGAATCCACAGAGTCAAAAGATTCACTCCTTATGGCTTCAAGATCAGTGCGTCCTGAATTAGCCATGCGGCCCCACCGACCTCCTCTTCTTAACCGAGGTCTTTTAGGTCTTGAGGAATCTTTGGAACTAGCACTTAAATTTAAGGAACTAATATCCTCCATATCAGATGAAGGTGTGCCGAGATCACCTCTTTTTAATTCTATCACTTCTGTTGGGCCATCATCAACCTCATCTGCCACATAAGAACTCTGAGGTTCGAGCCAATGTCTAGAGGGGCTCGTCACTTCATCATCACGCCCAAGTCCCTCAGAGGGTTCATGTATAACACTCGACTGAATATCTGCTGGTGACACTGATGCTCTCATGCGTAACCTGAACCTTGGGGGGCAACATGTCCCTACAGGAATCATATTCAGAGGGTTGGAAGGTCCTCCTGAATTCATCCAAGAGGCAGCCCTTTTGCAACCTTGCTTGATAGGGCTTGAATACCTGTTGATCACCACCTGGAGCTCTTCATCTGGAGTAGTGACAAGGGAAGCAGTATGACCTACAAAGGAAAATTATATATATAAGATGACAGAAAACAGATGACAATGATATAATTATTGAGTTGGAAAGAGGAAATGAAAATTGGAAGGTGATAAGTAGGCTCGGTTCTGAACAAAGAAATATGATACTGTGTATGTTTTTCAAATGTAATATATTTGATATGAAACTATGACAAAAAAATTAATATAATTTAGGATTGTTAAAATAAAGTAGATTGCATATCACAAATCACTTTTGTTAGGAAAATATGATTGTTTTGTTAATTCATGGTTTGAACATCACCTAAGGCATCTTGAGACATGGATGTCGCCCTGGGATAACGAAAATAATAATGTTAGGAATAAAATAGATTGCATTGTTACTTCAAGAAAATTTCTATAAATCAGTAAGGTAACCCAAAACAGACCTACCTGGGGGCAGACTGTGGGTCAGCCCGTGCCCTTATAATACATAGATGGACTAAGAAAAAGAATGTGGGGTAAGAGATGATACTGTAAAGGTATAAGTGATGCTCAGTTAGTATCTGAAAATAAATTTGAATATTGTTTTAATATTGTGGTAGGTAACAAAGAGGAAATCTGTATTTATTTGGGAAGTAACTTGAGTTGTTATGGTAGATACAAGAGAGAAATTAAATCATCTGTAAAAAGAATATTAGTAATGAGTTTAGACAAAAAAAAAGCCTGGTGAAATGCAATCCAATAATTTATATGATCAGTAGCATTGTAAAGGACAGAAGTGTGGAACCTTTTACAACAGACACCAGGAAGTGGCTTGAGGCCTTTGCAATGTGATGGTCCAGTAGAACGCTAAGATATGTTATACTGATAGAAAGATAAATGAGGAAATACTATACTAAGGGTGGCTAGTGCAGCACGAGAAACACAAGAAATTTTTGCATCATAATAAGGGAAGTGAGTGAAGAGTGAGGTTAGGAAGGCCAAGGGAAGGAATTTAAGAGACTGAAATGGTGAATGAAAGTAAATGTTGAGTTCCCAGAGACTTACAAAATCTGGGAGGACTGGTAATGACAACTTAAGAACATATGGAGAAAAATGACCCGCAACCCTCAGGTATTACAATGGTACTTTGATTTATTGAAAGTACAATGAAAAATAAATTCTATATGTGAGTATATCAAATTTTGGGCTGCCAGACTCCCTCACCCAGGAGATGTGCAGCAATAACTTTAGTAGCGTTGCGCCCCGTGAGGCGTGGAGGTTGTGCCGCCAGAACGCCCATCACTCGCTCTGCCATACTGCCATCCACTTGCTCCATAGATGTCAGGCCAGGAATCTCACCCAAGATCTCAGCTGCCAGAGCTCGAGTGTTCAGAGGAAGCACATTCTCCTTGAAGGTGTGTTCTATATTACCTGTGGGCAAAACTACATAATTGAAATAATACAGTAGTTTGATTTTAAAAGTTTCACATATTCTATTCTTCCATCCCAGTCCTCTATACCATTTTTTGTTACTCCCAATTCTCTCTTTCTCTCTCTCTCTCTAATCTTAAAAAGGTAAACTGCATTAAGGAATAATCATAAAAATGCTTAAGAGGCAGGAAGGTGTTCAGGAGTTATCACTACACCAATTGTGAAGAGGATAAAAGTAAAAGTAAGTAATAAACAGGTACAGTATATCAGAACCCAACTGTTTCTCCAGGTACAATGAATCCCTAACAAAACAAGAGATCCTCGACGACCTACAGCACTCAACTGGAGTGACACCACAATATGAGCATCATAAACCCTGAGAGAAAACATATACAATACCTGCAATGTAATGTAATGTTAACAGCAGCCTAATTACTGTACTACATATAGATGAACCTGCTGTATCACTCAGCCCATTTTAAACCTTTGCTAGGCATTTACTTTATGATGTTTAATTAAAATCAGATTAGATTAATGAAGTTATTAAATAAATACAAAATTCCTATAAGGAGAAAAAGTTATTGGCCACATTTGAGGTGTGGCTCTTCAGAAAAATAAGGAGGCGAATCAATAGTCTTAACACCCAACTTGTTGACTGGAACAAAATTTCACAAAATTATTTGTGAAAAATAATTATTTCTTCCTTACCATAATGGATTCCTCATAAGAAAATACTTGGTGTGGCAATTTAACTAAGAAGGATGAAAGTTTATGCTGCCATTCATAACACACACACTCACTCTGTAACCCTCATTTGCTCAGCTACATAAGAAGATACTGTACCAGCATTAAGACATTGGTTCCAACTCACCTCAGCAGCCTAAAAAGGAGGCGGGAAGGAATCTGAGTCATAAATTTTTTGGCTCATTTATATAAGGGGATTTCAGGATCAATCCTACCTGTACAACTTGAGTCAAGGATTGGTTGATTCAGGTACAGTACAGTATACCAAAGCCAGCTAAAACATGGAAGAAGAAGACACAATAAACACTAAGTACAGTACAGTACAGTATTAAATGTGGCTCACACCCTCTGTGGTAGCAATTCTCTGGCAGTAAGCTACATGCTGGTCCTTAAAAGAAAATTTAAATAAGGTTTAGAATTTTAGCTAATCCTGAGCCAGATTGCCCAACATAACGTTAATTTATTGGGGACAAAACATACCTGCCGGCGTGTAGTGAGCCACCACAATGATCTTGCCTGATCTACTTCTTGCCTTGCCCACCCCAAACTGTTGACTCTTCTGCCACACCATCTGTGTGAACGGACCTGAGAAAGGAAGATCATTAGTGGTCAACAGCCTGTGAAGCGATGGTGAAACTATCTTTACGAAAACAATAATCATTTACCTCCTGGTCTTCATCAATCTATAAATTTTTCACAAAAATAAGCAAATATACTAGCCATCGGTTTATAGCTGTAGGCATATATAATATCAATAAAATATAGATAAGAGCTAAAGTATTAATGAGAAAAGTGGTGTTCGAGAGAGGATGTGAGATAAGGATTGAAAGACCACTATTAATCAAACACCAGTCGGCAGTGGGTGTGGCTCTGCTGCACTCACTTAACCCCTTCACTTGTCACCCACTCACACATGACCCCCCACCACCCACACATGACCCCACACCCACACATGACCCCACCAACCACACATGACCCCACCACCCACACATGACCCCACCACCACACACATGACTCCACCACCCACACATGACCACCAACCACACATGAACCACACACATGACCCCACCACCCACACATGACCCCCACCACCACACACATGACCTCCACCACCCACACATGACCCACCACCCACACATGACCCCACACCATACATCTCTGACCTCCACCACACACCCTACCACACTCCACCACCCACACATGACCCCACCACCACACATGACCCCACCACCCACACACATGACCCCCACCACCCACACATGACCTCCACCACCCACACACACATATGACCCCACCACATGACCACCACCACACATGACCCCACCACCCACACATGACACCACATGACACCCACCACGACCCCACCACCCACACACATGACCTCCCCACATAAATCACACACCTCCACCATACACACATGACCCCACTCCACACACATGACCTTAACAAACCACACATCCCCTCCACATACATGACCACCACCACATGACCTCCACCACATGACCTCCCACCCACACATGACCCCCACCAACCACACATGACCTCCACCACTCACACATGACCTCCACCACCCACACATGACCTCCACCACCCACACATGACCCCCCACCACCCACACATGACCTCCACCACACCACACAACTTAACACATCGTGACTCACCCTGGCTGGCCTGCAGGACGTTGGGCGGTCTGTTAAACTTGTACTGCCTGACGCTGCTGTACCAGTAGGCCGCCACCTCCTCCCCTACGGAACACACAGCCATCAGTGTCACGTTCTTTCACGGGTCAACAAAGCATGGTGGGTTGACGTCACTTTTTTTGAAGGGCCACTATTAAAATTTACGAAAGATGGTGATTAATTATTAGATATTTATTTATTACCGGGTATGGGATAGTTATGGGGTGGTTTAGTGAGATTGTTAGTGGGATAGTATGGTGGCAGTTATAGTGAGAGGACCGTTACAGGTGGAGAAGAGGGGAGGGAGGGGGGTTGTAATTAAGAAGTCACCGCCACCATTGTTTAATATCCATATAAAGGATCATTAAGGCTCATTATAGGGTCCCTTGGGTCATTTCATGCAGCAGTTAGTGACTATTGTGATGGGCTATGATGCATCGTACTCAAGAGGTCAATACTGCTTCTCTTTGTGAAGTTATTCCGGGTTGTGATGTACCCCTTTACCTGCTGCAGGGCATTAAGGGTAATTTTGATAAGTGTCGTCTCTTTGTTGATGTTGGGGTTATAATGGTAGTAATTCCGGACCATCGAGGGGTTAGGCAGTGAAGGTCGTAGTATAAATATTTGATGATACTATGGGATATTTTGTATACTTTTATCCTCTTCACAGTTAGCGATAGTTACAAATAATGTCAGTTTAAACAATAGGTATGGGAGTTGGTCATTAGCTCGCTAGTGGGAGTCAATACTGATTAACTAAACTTATGAATATCATCTTTCAGCTAATAATTTATAGATTTCCTTTCAACTGTGGCTTCCCCAATATGCTGTCTGCTACGATACTTATTAAGAGATATTATGGCATTTGTAGTGACGTCACCCAAAAGGACAGGTTTAGTTAGTGTGTTGTGGACGGTGGCTCCCCTCACAGACGCACTGGAACATACAAGTCATATTTCATTTGATTACAGTATCATGAACGGTTAGAACAAACTATTAAATACGGTTAACTAGATATCTTTAATTTATATAGGTCTCAAGATAAATTATTTGGAGCAAAACACGCCAACTGCCTTAACTGATACTTTTACTTTTTTTTTACTTTTATCCTCTTCGCCACTGATCGGCTTGTTAGCCGCTTGGGCGATCGGTCACGACTCTTTTCCTTTATATTCTTCACCAAAAGGTCGGCTCGCTAGCCGCCCGGGCGATCGGTCACGTCTCTGTCACGCACTGTTGGCAAATACTGGGCATGCACCGGCTCCTGAATTACCTGAACCGCTCCAGTGTTGGTCAAGTCTTCTCTTGAAAGCTCTCACACTCGGTGCCGTCACACACTTTCTGGTAGATTGTTCCAAGAGTTTACAACCCTCACTCCGAAAAAGTTTGCCCTCACGGTTTTCCGGACTTGCGGCTTCTTCAATCTTGAGCTGTGACCCCTTGTGGGGCGAGCGCCAGCCAGCTCCAAGTAAGGACACTCAACTGAGTAGTGCCCCCTCTGCTTATAAACCTCAACTAGGTCCCCCCTTGCCCGTCTGTAGTATAAGCTAGGCAAGTTCAGTCAAATCATTTCTTTCACGTTTTAATAACAACTAATTATTATGTGTAGAAGAATAGGTTGAGAATATGACAGGATTAAGAGGTGTGGCTAATAAAGGAATGCGGTGGGCAAGTGGATACAGAGCACCTCACCTCAGGGTCGTTGGTTCAATCTCGGAGCACCCAAGTCCACCCAGCTGTATAGGGGTACCTTACTTTACAGTCCCCCCACGTTGCCTCTTATACACCAAGGATTTCTTTACGTCGTAGGCAAAACAGGTATGTGCGCTGTTTTACTTACGAGCTTAAAGGCAGTTGACCGTAAACTCTGATGGGTATTTAAACGTTAAGACTGGTAGACATCAGCTATAGGACAAATATAACATTAAACAGGGCATAAAAAAACACACCTGAGTCTACCTTAACTAATTACTGTATATACTTCACTCAGCAACAGGTAAGGGACAATAGAAGTTTAGTGATTCTTGGTGCTGGACAACTATCACAACACTTACTACCCAATGGTGAGGTACAAGTTTACGGGCTATAGTGTGTTGCCCACCCCCCCTTCACCACCCTCCACCCCCACCCCACGGATTCACACAAGTACGTTAAGACTCCGCCAAAAGTTAAGAAAAATTTGTCAGGTTTTTGTCATTGTGTCTGTGTTGAGGGTCACTTTCCTACCTGAAAGCCTTGATCTCTCTCTTGACGCTGTGAGTAATTGGATAGTTTTCATGCGCCATCAACACTGCTAAAGCCTCCAGCAATCATGGCAGTGTTTATCTTGTATTGTTAGTCTTCTATACCTGTACACTGTTTCAAGCGAGGGTAAGTCATTTGAGAAGATCCTCCACTTTACTGAATGCTAATCATATCATATACAGATTTTCCTTTGATAAGCAATCGTTAACAATTTGCGTTGTGACAGTTGGTGTGAAAGAAAAGCAAAATTAGTATTGAGTTTTTGATATCTGATAAAAGGGGAAATAAATTTTAGAGAAATACAACGCACGGTCTTCTGTGTGGGCTAGCAGCGTGGACCAGGATAATGCCCAGCCTGAGTTATACAGTACCTATAGAAGAACAATTGAAAAAAAGAGAGAGGACTGTTTGAAGCACCAAGAAAAATACTGAAAATTTATAGAAAACAAAAAGAGTGTTTGACCATATGTGTAATTTAGAATGAAGGGATAATGGGAGATGCAGAGAATGAGATGAATGTTATTAAATACTGTGATCACCGTAACGAACCAAAATTTGGGATAACATCTGGAGTGGAGGGCCATGGTCGCCGACCCTGAAGCGTACAAGTCTCCCCCGTAAGCGCATACATCCATACATTTAAAGTAAATGTAATGAAGTCCCTCATGTTTGTGCGTTTGTATACAATTGTTGTAAACACGCCCAACCAACAGTGAGCGGGTAGCTGAGAAGTGAAGGTTTCTCAGTGTGCCAAAGGCTTAGTGTTCAGTGTGCTATATCCGCACTGCCCCTCACGGCCTGTTAAGAACTTATGGGCATCACTTATTTTAACTAAGCACATAAAAGTCCTTCATATGTGCTCACATTTGTTGTAAAGTACATGTAAGTCACTCATGTATATGTATAAATTTACTGTAGATTAAGTGTGTGTGTAGAGCGACAAGTACTCCTCGGTGGAGGTGTGTGGTAGCGGGGCCAAATGACCACATTACTGGTGGCGTCAACCTGACCCCTGGGAAACTCGTCTTGGCTCTCACTCCACACATTAACTTCCTTCCTTCGTACCTATATATTCCCCCCTCGTCTCCTTTGATATACGGAGAAGATACCAGACAGAGCCATGAATATCACCCATGAACACCTAAAGAGATTATTATCATACGTTTATATTATTAAAATAAACATGGGAAGGACTGGATAATAGTATAATAGGAGACATCGCAATGAAAGACTCGTACAAACACGCCATGAGATCAATATCATGTGTACACTATGAAAAAATACCCTGGTGGATGACTAAATGTGTTTGAGCTGTGCAGCGACCTTGTTAAAATCAGTGTGATGATGAAAGTAGAGAAGAAAGATTAGACAGCTAAGTCACCGCAGGAATTTCTCCTGTGTACTGACTAAAATAACAACATGCATTACCGCACGACAGCCAAGTGGGAGGAACACGGGAAACCCAACTCTGGTATCTGTATGTACATAATCTGTAGGAGAATGCTTAGTTTCTGCATCCGATTTTCCTTTGTTTCTTCATAATTCCGTCTATCGTAAATCGTGGCGGCTGTGGTTAATAAAGAAGCAATGCATCGCGGGAGGGCGTGGCGGCGGGCGCGGTGCAGGTGGGGCGGGTCGCGGAGGAATACAAACTACACATTGGCGGCCCAACCTGGTGCTCCTCGCCTCCCTGCTTCACACGTAATGCCACCGCTTGCTGAGGCCACAACACAATAGGATTGTTCACTCGTGGTCTCACATTTTCTGTTTGTCTCTTTCTATTTCTTGACGAGTTAGACTCCCGGTACTCCGCCAGAATTGAAGAATCGTATGTAAAAGGTCACGACCTTTATGTGTTGGAATTACTGCTGAGCGTGTGACAAATTTCATTCCACAAAAGAGCAATTTCAGTTACTTCTTAAAATTGTTGAGTACTTGAGACACCAAACTAATAATACACGGTGTGAGTATTATAATCTGAGTGGACAGTAGCGCGGGGTGAGCCTTCATTCAGCCGTGGTAGCCGGCCGCCCCACCTGAGGGCGAGGGTGACTCCGCCTGCCAGCCTGACTAAAGGGGACCCGCTCTCTCCAGGTGGACACGTGGGGGGTGGGTGTGGGGCTCCACCACCAAACAAATAGATCGAACAAACTCTTCACAAAACAGTACGGGCTTTTCTTCTTCCTTCTAACGATCTCTTGACAAAAATAACCAAGAATACAGCATCAGACCAGCACTCAAGAGGCATTTGAATATCTCTTTTAATACTCTACAGGAATTGAGAAATATGAGTAAAACTATATGAGACACATTCATTACTTATCATTACTTACACTAAATATACCCTGATAATTTATTTCATTACTTAAGTTTACTCATTATTAAAATCTAAAACAAAACAAAAACACTTGAGGTATTTTTAAGAAGCAGTAAAATACATCTCACTTAATGCCTAATTGTCGAGGACTTAAGTGTTATATATTAATGTAGAATATGAGCTTAAAGACCTTAGTTGGTGAAGCGCTGGGATGATTTAGGACTATTATAACAACATGTGGCGTGGGGCGAGGCGAGGAGAGGGTGAGAGAAGAGGGTGAGAGAAGAGGTAACGAGGGAAGGTCATGAAGGAAAAAGAGTTAAGAAGTTATGAAAAAAAAAGTCTATGAAGTGAGTTTATGAAGTAAGGACGTGGAGAAAGGTCATAGAAGTGAAGATATACTGAAGCAAAGCAATAGGTCAAGAAGTAAGATCATGAAGCACTGATGACGCAAGACCTATAAGATATTAACTGAAGCAAGAGGTCATGAAGCAAAGTGAGGAAG